TCAGCCTGGGAAGTGGAGGTTGCAGTGAGCTGAGATTGTACCATTCCACTGCACTCCAGCCTGCGTGACAGAAAGAGACTGTCTAAAAAAAAAAAAACCGGGCCGGGCGCGGTGGCTCAAGCCTGTAATCCCAGCACTTTGGGAGGCCGAGGCGGGTGGATCACGAGGTCAAGAGATCGAGACCATCCCGGTCAACATAGTGAAACCCCGTCTCTACTAAAAATACAAAAAATTAGCTGGGCATGGTGACACGTGCCTGTAATCCCAGGTACTCAGGAGGCTGAGGCAGGAGAATTGCCTGAACCCAGGAGGCGGAGGTTGTAGTGAGCCGAGATCGCGCCATTGCACTCCAGCCTGGGTAACAAGAGCGAAACTCTGTCTCAAAAAATAAAAAACAACAAAAAACAAACAAACAAACAAACAAACAAACAAAAAAAACCGGCTGGGTATGATGGCTTGAGCCTATAAATCCCACTACTTGGGAGACTGAGGTGGGAGGATGGCTTGAAGCCGGGTGTTCAAGTCTAGCTTGGGCAGCAAAGCAAGACCCCAACTCTAAAAAGTAGAAAAACCTTAAGCAACTTTTTTTTTTTTTTTTTTTTTTTTTTTTTTGATATGGAGTCTCGCTCTGTATAGTGGCATGATCTCGGCTTACTGCCACCTCTGCCTCCCGGGTTCAAGCAATTCTCCTGCCTCAGCCTCCTCAGTAACTGGGATTACAGACATAAAGTTGCTTAAGAGGCCTGGCCCAGTGGCTCACATCTGTAAATCCTAGTGCTCTAGGAGGCTGAGGCAGGTGGATCACCTGAGATCAGGAGTTTGAGACCAGCCTGGCCAACATGGGAAACCTTGTCTCTACTAAAAATACAAAAATTAGCCAGGTGTGGTGGTGCACGGCTAAATTTTGTATTTTTAGTAGAGACAGGATTTACAGACGTGAGCCACTGTGCTGGGCCTCTTAAGCAACTTTAAAAAGGAAAAAGGAATCTAACAAACATTAAATAATTGAGATTTTATATTAGTCCCAATTTACAGCTAAAATTTATCATCATGTGTACAAAGTATTTTACATGATTATCCTTAATGTGCATATACAACTTGGCTTCCATATTCTTTTTTATTATTTAAAAAATTTTTATTTTCATTTGGTAGAGTGAGGGGTCTTGCTGTGTTGGCCAGGCTGGTCTCAAAGTCTGGGCTTCAAGCGATCATCCTGCCTCAGCCTTCCAAAGTGGTGGGTTTACAGGTGTGCTTTTATTTATTTATTTATTTATTTATTTTAATTTTTAATTTTTTTTTTTTTTTGAGGCGGAGTTTCGCTCTTGTTACCCAGGCTGGAGTGCAATGGCGCGATCTCGGCTCACTACAACCTCCGCCTCCTGGGTTCAGGCAATTCTCCTGCCTCAGCCTCCTGAGTACCTGGGATTACAGGCACGTGTCACCATGCCCAGCTAATTTTTTGTATTTTTAGTAGAGACGGGGTTTCACTATGTTGACCGGGATGGTCTCGATCTCTTGACCTCGTGATCCACCCGCCTCGGCCTCCCAAAGTGCTGGGATTACAGGCTTGAGCCACCGCGCCCGGCCCCAGGTGGCTTTTATAATCTTTTTTTTTTTTTAAACAGAGTTTCGCTCTTTTTGCCCAGGCTGTTGTGGAATGATGTGATCTCGGCTTACCGCAACCTCTGCCTACTGGGTTCAAGCAATTCTTCTGCCTCAGCCTCCCGAGTAACTGGGACTACAGGCATGCGCCACTACACCTGGCTAATTTTGTATTTTTAGTAGAGACTGGGTTTCTCCATGTTTGTCAGGCTGGTCTGGAACTCCTGACCTTAAGTGATCCGCCAGCCTCAGCCTACCAAAGTACTTGGATTACAGGTGTGAGCCAACATACCACGCATTTTCATATTCTTTAAGTGACTTTATATGAAAAACTAGTTCAAATATTATTATTTTGGTGGTTAATAACATTCTATTGTATTAACATCATTTGTTTAGCTATAGGGGATTACTTGTGTGATATTGTGATTTATAATAGGAAATATTTGGTGTTCTTACTCTTTGCTGGCACACAATTCCTAAAGCCCTTGGAATCTCCAAGATGTCTTTTTGTATGCTAATGAGATGACTAGTGGCTGGGGGCTCCTGAATAGCCTCAGGATGGGGGCTGGTTACCAAGGCAACCAACCAAATGCTCAGAGTTTGGAACTTTAGTCATACATCAGGTAGTGGACAGGGATGAAGATTGAGTTTATCACCAATGGGCAGTGATTTAATCAATCATGCTTATATAAAGAAACCTTCATCAAAACCCCAAAAGACCTGGTTAAGGAGTTTCCAGATAGCTGAACATATGGAGATTCCTGTAGGGTGGTGTACTGGAGAGGGTGTGGAAACTCCTTGCCTTTTCCTGTATACTTTGCTCCATGCATCTCTTATATTTGGCTGTTCATTTTTTTTTTTATTCATTAATTTGTTTTTGGGGGGTTTTTTTGGTCTCTTTTTTTTTCTTTCTTTTTTTTTTTTTGAGACGGAGTCTAGCTCTGTCGCCAGGCTGGAGTGCAGTGGCACGATCTCTGCTCACTGCAACCTACACCTCCTGGGTTCAAGCAATTCTCTTGCCTCAGCCTCCCGAGTAGCTGGGACTACAGGCGCACACCACCACGCCCAGCTAATTTTTGTGTGTTTTAGTAGAGACGAGGTTTTACCATGTTGGCCAGCATGGTCTCGATCTCTTGACCTCATGATCTGCCCACCTCAGCCTCCCAAAGTGCTGGGATTACAGGTGTGAGCCACTGCACCTGGCCGTTTGGTCTTTTTTTAATTTTTATTTTTATTTGGCTATTTATCTGTATCCTTTGTGATATACTGTATAATAAACGGTAAGTTTAAGTAAAGTATTTCTCTGAGTTCTTGAGGTGCTCTAACAAATTAAAGCAAAGGAGAGGGTAGAATGGAGACACTGATTTATAGCCAGTTTGTCAGAAGTACAGACCATAACCTAAGATTTAAGATTGGCATCTGAAGTAGGGACTGAGCCCTTCATCTATGGGACCTGACACTATATCCAGGTAGATAGTATCAGAGTTGAATTGAATTGAATTAGGGGACACCCAGTTGACCTCCTCTGCAGAATTGCTTGGTTAGTGTGTAGGGAAATACCCTTCCACATCTGTTTTTAGAAGTGTTGTGTTGAGTGGTGAGTGAAAGTAGGTAGGAAAAAAAGTAGATTTTTTTCCCCTATATCTCACAGAACTTATTTCCATTTTTTCTACTAGCTGTGTTTAAGTATCAGGCCCTTGGTCTGGCCAGTGTCTATGGCTGCGCTTGCTTTTAAGGAATAGATGGGAGGTGGCACACAAGCAGAAGTAAATGTATTCTTACAGGAGCTTCTGCATTAATTCTCTGTTTTGTTTTTTACCCGGGTAAACTGAACCACATGGAACCCCTTAATCAAGAGTCCTTCCATGTCTTCCATTTCCTGGTCCACGCTGTGGTCCTGTACATTTTGGATTTCATGATAGAGGCAAAAGGAAGAGAGCCTTGACTGCTACCGAGAGAAGTTGATAGCCCTCCTCTTGAGACAGGGTGTGGTCCGACTGTGGCACGCTGTCTTTGAGAGGTGAAGAGAACGTTCATCTGTAGTTAGGGGGCATGAAATAGGGAAAGTGCTTGGTCACTTCTTTTTGGGTTATTTTCAGTGGGGAGACAGAATTGCTAGCCCAAAAGAAATCAAGTTTTATGGCCTATATGGTTGCTAGTTTGTTTTCCATAAAAAAATAGTTATATTATATCAGCAACATGTGAGTGTATCTAATTGGCCACAATCCCTTGAAACCATCAAAAAAAGTATTTTGTATTATTTTTGCTAGTATATTGTGTATAATATTACTTTAATTTTCTGAAGTAATTCTTCAAAAATTTTAGCTTTATTCAGTAGCATACATTTCATGCATTTAAATGTACAATTCAGTCACTTTTGAATATTCACGGAGCTTTGCAACTATCACTACAACTTAAACATTTTTTATTTAAAAACAAATTTATTGACAAATAAAAATTGTTGCCATGCATGGTGGCTCATGCCTATAATCCCAGCACTTTTGGAGGCCAAGGTAGGTGGATCATGAGGTCAGGAGTTCGAGACAACCAGACTGGCCAATTTGGTGAAACCCCATCTCTACTAAAAATACAAAAATAAGCCAGGCATGGTAGTACATGCCTGTAGTCCCAGCTACTGGGGAGGCTAAGGCATAAGAATCGCTTGAACCCGGGAGGCAGAGGTTGCAGTGAGTTGAGATGGCACCACTGCACTCCAGCCTGGGTGATGGGGTGAGACTTCGTCTCAAAAACAAAATTGTCTGTTAATGGTGTACAACATGATATTTTGAAATATGTTTACATTGTGTAGTAGCTATATCATACTAACATGCTAATTAACGTGGGTTACATCATATACTTATTGTTTGTGGTGAGAACACTTAGAATTTATCCTTTTGGCAAGTTTCTTTTTTTTTTTTGAGATGGACTCTCACTCTGTCACCCAGCCTGGAGTGCAGTGGTGCAATCTCAGCTCACTGCAACCTCCGCCTCCTAGGTTCAAGCGATTCTTCCACCTCAGCCTCCTGAGTAGCTAGGATTACCGACACCTGCCCATCATGCCCAGGTAATTTTTGTATTTTTGTAGAGATGGGGTTTCACCTTGTTGGGCAGGCTGGTCTTGAATTCCTCAGGTGATCCACCCGCCTTGGCCTCCCAGAGTGCTGAGATTACAGGTGTGAGCCACCTGGCCTGTTTTCAAATATACAATACATTGTCATTAACTATAGTCACCATGTTGTTTCAGGTCTTATGTTTAAATCTTTAATCTATTTTGAATTGATTTTTGTATATTGTATGTGATACACTACTCATTATATACTTTTAGTCACTGGGTGAATTCGAGTGGTTTGACATTGGATAAAATTATCTCATTTTTTTTTTTTTTTTTTTTTTTTTAGCGTTGTAGAATGAATGAAGACACTGGCACTGATTATTTAACACCTTGGCGGCTATCTCAAGTGGTTGATGGTGGAGGTATTGGAATTATAGAAGAAAGCAAACACACAAAGTTGACTAAAGGCGATTTTGTGACTTCTTTCTATTGGCCCTGGCAGAGCAAGGTTATTCTGGATGGAAATAGCCTCGAAAAGGTGATATATATATGAAAATATCTGATTTTTTTCCCTGTGTAATTCTCACTTTGTGCATTTGATACTCAGTTGTGTTTGTAATCAGAGAAAAATAAAAGCATATGTTTTCTTTTAGCTAGCTGCTAAAATGCCGAAAGCCTTTGTTCCTTTTCCACTGTTAGCTGTGTAGGGAAGTTTAAATATTCCAATATTCCTTCTGAGGATTTGTTACTTAGGCCTATTAAACTGATAATAAGGAGATTAACAAGAGAAAAACCATTTTATTTATTGTTTTATCTTTTTTCTTTTTTTTTTTTGAGCATTGTGGATGTGAATATTATTTTTTCTTTATTTTTTTCTTTTTAAACTTGAGTTATAAGTTTCATGAAGCAGAGGAGAAAAAATTTTTTTTTTTTTTTTTTGTTTGTTTGTTTTTGAGACGGAGTTTCCTTCTTGTTACCCAGGCTGGAGTGCAATGGTGCGATCTCGGCTCACCGCAACCTCCGCCTCCTGGGTTCAGGCAATTCTCCTGCCTCAGCCTCCTGAGTAGCTGGGATTACAGGCATGCGCCACCATGCCCAGCTAATTTTTTGTATTTTTAGTAGAGACAGGGTTTCACTATGTTGACCGGGATGGTCTCGATCTCTTGACCTCGTGATCCACCCGCCTCGGCCTCCCAAAGTGCTGGGATTACAGGCTTGAGCCACCACGCCCGGGAAAAAACATTTTAATTCATGCATATGCACTGGAGCCTCACAGAATGGGAGACTTAAAGGAGGGGCCTGATGGTTGAAGGGTTTTTTGTTTGTTTGTTTCTGTGCTTGTTTGTTTATTTTAGAGATAGGGTCTCACTGTGTTGCCTTGGCTGGTCTCAAACTCCTAGGTTCAAGTAATCCTTCCACCACAGCCTCCCAAAGTGCAGAGATTACAGACATGAGCCACTGTGTCTGACTGAAGTTTTTATAGTGCAAAGGAATGGGGCTTGAGGCCTTTTGGGGAAATGACGACAAGAAGGGAAAGGGGAGGAATGGCATGGTGAACAAAGGTTATCTTATTGTAGAGAAAGTCGCTCACATAATAGAAGTTGTTTCAGAGTAGCCTCCAAAAGAATAGGCATAGCCTGGCTGGGTCTGCTAATGACGTTTATTTTTATTTTTTATTTTTTGAGGCAGCATCTTACTCTGTCACCCAGGCTGGAGTGCAGTGGAGTGACCTTGGCTCACTGCAACCTCTGGCCTCCTGGGTTCAAGCTATCCTCTCACCTCAGTCTCCTGAGTAGCTGGGATTACAGATAAACATACACCACCACACCCGGCTAATTTTTTGTATTTTTAGTAGAGACAAGGTTTTGCCATGTTGGCCAGGCTAATCTCAAACTCCTGACCTCAAGTGATCTGTCCGCCTTGGCCTCCCAAAATGCTGGGATTAGAGGCATGAATCACTGCACCTAGCCATTTTTATTAAACTTTTTATAGAAACAGAGTCTCATCATGTTGCCCAGGCTGGTCTGAACTCCTGGCCTCAACTGATCCTTCTGCCTCAGCCCCACAAAGTGCTGGGATTACAGGTGTGAACCACTGCGCCCAGCCTTTATGGTACATTTTAAGCGTCAATAATGAGAACTGTTGGAGTTTGAGTTGATTTTTTTATCTTTCTTTCTTTTTGTGTGTCAGAGTATGGCTTTGTAATCCAGGCTTGAGTGCAGTAGTGTGATCTTAGCTCACTGTAAACAATGCCATCTGGGTTCAAGCGATTCTCCTGCCTCACCCTCTCGAGTAGCTGGGATTACAGGGGCCCACTACCATGCCTGGCTACTTTTTGTATTTTTAGTAGAGATGGGTTTCAGCATCTTGGCCAGGATGGTCTTGAACTTTTGACCTCATGATCTACCTACCTCGGCCTCCCAAAGTGCTGGGATTACAGGCATGAGCCACCTCACCTGGCCTGAGTTGATTTTTATAGGTAAATGTTTACGTTGGAATTGCTCAGAGACTTAAAAATCAATGTTGGCAAGTATTTTTGTGTTAAGCATTTCCTTTTTTTTCATAGTGGGGCATTAACAAGAAAGACTATTTGGTCTCTTATGTGGGAATGTTTTTTTGTTTCTTTTTAATATAGAGAAGTAATATAGTTTTTTACTCTTTACAAATAAATTTTAGAATTTTAGCAAGATTGAAGAATGGTTTACTCTTCTAGAAACCATATTGGGTTGTTTATTATACTGATGGACAGACTGCTGTAACAAAATACTACAGGCTGGGTGATTTAAACAACAGAAATTTATTTTCTCACAGTTCTGCAAGCTAGAAGTCCAAGATCAGAGTTCTGGAAAATTTGTTTTCTGGTGAGGCCTCCCCTCCTGGATTGCAGATGGCCACATTCTTGCTGTGTCCCCATCTCCAAATAGAGTCACATTGGGGCTTAAGGCTTTAATATATAAATTTTGTGTGGGACACAATTCAGTTCATACACATTGTCTCTACTCTGTTGTCTCAAAACAGGAATTCCTAGTATTATTCTAAAAGGGCATATATTTTATTTTAGGTAGACCCACAACTTGTGGATGGACACCTTTCATATTTTCTTGGAGCTATAGGTATGCCTGGTTTGACTTCCTTGATTGGAATACAGGAGAAAGGTCATATAACTGCTGGATCTAATCAGACAATGGTTGTCAGTGGGGCTGCAGGTGCCTGTGGATCCTTGGCTGGGCAGGTAAAGTTTCTGAGAATTATTTGATTTTCTGATTATTTGAGGATTATTATAATTCATAATTGAAATTCCAGATATATGTATGTCATTTAAAGTATAAAATTGGGGCCGGGCGCGGTGGCTCAAGCCTGTAATCCCAGCACTTTGGGAGGCCGAGGCGGGTGGATCACGAGGTCAAGAGATCGAGACCAGCCTGGTCAACATGGTGAAACCCCGTCTCTACTAAAAATACAAAAAATTAGCTGGGCATGGTGGCGTGTGCCTGTAATCCCAGCTACTCAGGAGGCTGAGGCAGGAGAATTGCCTGAACCCAGGAGGCGGAGGTTGCGGTGAGCCGAGATCGTGCCATTGCACTCCAGCCTGGGTTAACAAGAGCGAAACTCCGTCTCAAAAAAAAAAAAAAAAAAAAAAAAAAAAGTATAAAATTGGATAACTTTTTTTTCATGCCTCAGCCTCAGGAGTAGCTGGGACTACAGGTGTGTACTGCTACACCTGGCTAATTTTTGTATTTTTAGTAGAGATGGGGTTTTGCCATGTTGGCCAGGCTGGTCTCAAACTCCTGGCCTCAAGAGAACACCTGCCTCGGCCTCCCAAAGTGCTGGGATTATAGGCATGAGCTACCATGCCTGGGCAAAATTGAATAAATTTATAATGACTTTCACACATTTCTTGTATAGATGGTGTTTCACCCACATAGACTCTCTTAGTAACAGTATGAAAAATGTAGATTTTAGTGTCTTATCCTCTGTTAACCAAAAATAGATGTAGTAAATGCTAAGGCTTTGCTTTCATTATTATAAGGAAGAGAATGATAGAGAAGCTGTTTGGAATTCCATGAATTAAAAGTCAAACTCACATTTTAAATTAATATTCTCAAATAAGAAAGCACTTAATGAATTCTAGAAATGTAAACATTTTGATAGAATTTTATGAAGTGGGCCTGGCTCAGTGGCTCATGCCTGCAACCCCAGTGCTTTGGGAGGCCAGGGTGACAGGACTACTTGAGGAGGGAGCTCAAGGCCAGCCTAGGCAACATAGTAAGACTCTGTAGTCAATAAATTAGCCCAGCACGGTGACATGCCTGTTATTCTAGCTACTTGAGAGGCTGAGGCAGGAAGAGTACTTGAGCCCAAGAATTCGAAGTTACAGTGAGCTATGATTGCACCACCGTACTCCAGCCTGGGTGACAGAGTGAGACCCTGTCTCTTTAAAAGACAAAAAATAATCTTATAAAACTACATCCTTTTATAAGTAATAGCCTTTATAATGTGAAACCATTAAAAACAAACATTGTGTCTGAGCTGTGATTTTAGTTTGTTACAAGTTTGAAAAATAATGAATTTTGTGTGATGTTTTGGATCTGATTATTCCTTTTATGAAATCAGATTTAAATTGTTAAATTTTGTTTTTCTTTTTATTTTTTTTTTTAGATGTAGTCTCACTCTGTTGCCCAGGCTGGAGTACAGTGGCGTGATCTCAGCTCACTGCAACCTCTGCCACCTGGGTTCAAGTGATTCTCCTATGTCAGCCTCTCCAGTAACTGGGATTACAGGCACGCACCACCATGCCCAGCTAATTTTTTTCTTTTTTTTTTTTAGTAGAGACGGGATTTCACCATATTGGCCAGGCTGGTCTTGAATGCCTGACCTGGTGATCTGCACACCTCGGCCTCCCAAAGTGCTGGGATTATAGGCATGAGCCACTGTGCCTGGCCGAAATTCTATTTTTTTAATTTAATTATTATTTCTTCTTTGATTTTATATTTTTCAATGAGTGCAAGCCAAAAATTGTGGTATTTTGACATTTAAACTACAGATGGTCCCCAACTTATGATGGATCTACTTTACAAAGACACAAAAGCCCTATGTATTTAGTAGAAGCCGTACTTTGAATGTTGAATTTTGGTCTTTTCTCAGGCTAGTGATATCAGTATGACACTCTCTTGAGATGCTGGGCAGCAGCAACAAGCTGTAGCTCCTGGTCAGCCACGTGGTCATGAGGGTAATGAGTGTTACTCTATGGTGTACTGTGTTGCCAGATGATTTTGCCCAGCCATAGCTGTTCTAAGCATGTTTTAGGTAGGCTAGGCTAAGCTATGATGTTCAGTAGGTTAGACATATTAAATGCCAAAAAAAAAAACAAAAGAAGAGGAAAAGAAACAAACAAAAAAAGACATATTAAATGCATTTTTTGTTGAGGATATTTTCAACTAACGATGTGTTTATTGTGATAATCCTCATCATATGTTAAGGAACATAAATCTAGCTTTATTCAATTTTAATAATTTTTTTTAGGATGACATTGTCTGCCCTCAGTTCTTTTAGTTTCAAGTGAATTTTCATTAAAAGCGGCTTAATCTAACTTAAATTGTAATGAACACTGTCATATACCTGTAATATCTTGTATACTTTTACATTTTTACATTTTGATGTGACAAAGCCATTTAATTTTCAAATTTCTCCCTTAGATTGGCCGTTTATTAGGTTGTTCCAGAGTGGTGGGAATTTGTGGAACACGTGAGAAATGCATCCTTTTGACCTCAGAACTGGGCTTTGATGCTGCAATTAATTATAAAAAAGAGAATGTGGCAGAACAGCTCCGTGAATCATGCCCAGCTGGAGTGGATGTTTATTTTGACAATGTTGGTGGTGACATCAGTGATACAGTGATAAGTCAGGTTGTTTGCTGATTTCTATTACAAATTTGAATACTGCATTTTATATGTTATGATATATTTTTACCTAATACTGAAAAAAAATTTATAAAATTGGAGGGATTATTGTGACATAATGTGATGATCAGTATTATATTTAAGTGATACAAAGGAGCTTGCTGGTATCTACTTCCATTCACGTGCAGATTTGTACTATGAACTTCGATTTCAGTTATTTGCTACGAATATTGTATTTTTCACTTTTGGTTTATTTTTGTGAAAAATTACATTTGCATTGTTGAAATGGTGACATTCTGACCCCTAACTCACCACTGACCAACTCACAGCCATGGCCCCAGACCTTGTATAGATAATGGGTTTCATAGACTGCATGTATTTATGTATATTTATTAACAATATTATAAAATATCAAAATGAGGTATTAACACTACATAGTCCTTTGCTGCATGTAAAATTATTTGCAGTTGATAATAAATTATTGAAATCTAAAAAAATACAGTTCTACCACTAATAAGTAGCAATAACAACTAATGTAATTCTTTTGCTGATTACCAAACATTTATTTGCCTCTATGTTCCTTTGGAATGTAATTATTTTGAACTACTTAAAATCTTAAATACCTCTAACAGGTAAATCTTAAAAAAAAATTGAATTAGGACTGGGCGCAGTGGCTCAAGCCTGTAATCCCAGCACTTTGGGAGGCCGAGGCGGGTGGATCACGAGGTCAAGAGATCGAGACCATCCTGGTCAACATGGTGAAACCCCGTCTCTACTAAAAATACAAAAAATTAGCTGGGCATGGTGGCGCGTGCCTGTAATCCCAGCTACTCAGGAGGCTGAGGCAAGAGAATTGCCTGAACCCAGGAGGCGGAGGTTGCGGTGAGCCGAGATCGTGCCATTGCACTCCAGCCTGGGTAACAAGAGCAAAACCCCGTCTCAAAAAAAAAAAAAAAAAAAATTGAATTAGTTGACAAAAAAGGATGAATAAATAGTCAAGGAGGCTTTCGTCGTGGCAGCTATAAAATCAGTACACGTAGGAAAGGGATATTTTATCATCGGTTTTCTCTATGCAGATGAATGAGAACAGCCACATCATACTGTGTGGTCAGATTTCTCAGTACAACAAAGATGTGCCTTATCCTCCCCCGCTATCCACTGCTATAGAGGCAATCCAGAAAGAAAGAAACATCACAAGGTGTGTTCTTCCCCTTTGCCCTTATTACCAGGTTCAAGGGGGTTTAAATGTCATAGATGTGTATGAAATCTATTGTTCTTCATAGATACTTTTTCTTTATTAAATAAAACTTTAGGCTGGGCGAGGTGGCTCATGCCTATAATCCCAGCACTTTGGGAGGTCGATGAGGGTGGATCACCTGAGGTCAGGAGTTGCAGATCAACCTGGCCAGTATGGTGAAATCCTGTCTCTACTAAAAATACAATAATTACCTGGACGTGGTGGTGTGTGCCTGTAGTCCCAGCTACTCAGGAAGCTGAGGCAGAAGAATTGCTTGAACCCAGGAGGCGAAGGTTGCAGTGAGCCAATATCATGCCACTGCACTCCAGCCTGGGCAACAGAGCGAGATTCTTTCTCAAAAAAAAAAAAAAAAAGGTGGGGGGGTCATGGTGACTCACACCTGTACTCCCAGCACTTTGGAAGGCTGAGGAAGCTGGATCACAAGGTCAGGAGTTGGAGACCAGCCTGGCCAACATGGTGAAACCCCAGCTCTACTAAAAATACAAAAATTAGTGTGGCAGTCACCTGTAATCCCAGCTCCTCGAGAGGCTGAGGCAGGAGAATCGCTTGACCTGGGAGGCAGAGGTTGCAGTGAGCCGAGATTGTGCCATTGCACTTCAGCCTGGGTGAGAGAGACTCCATCTCCAAAAAAAAAAAAAACAAACTGTATCTGACCAGACTCAATGTGATTAAGTCTTTGTATTTTAAGGATTAACAGATAGTAGAATTCTGGAATGATTTGATCTTGGAATACCACTCCTGTTATATTCTCTAATCATTATCCTTTTCTTCCTCATTGCAGGGAAAGATTTCTGTTGTTAAATTATAAAGACAAATTTGAGCCTGGCATTCTACAGCTGAGTCAGTGGTTTAAAGAAGGAAAGCTAAAGGTAGAACTTCTGTTCTTTGTCAATATAATTCTTCCTGTTACTTGATATAATTTTGCATTATTTAAATGTACTATAGCAAACATATTAGTTTTATATGAAACTTCCAGCCGGGCGCGGTGGCTCAAGCCTGTAATCCCAGCACTTTGGGAGGCCGAGGCGGGTGGATCACGAGGTCAAAAGATCGAGACCATCCTGGTCAACATGGTGAAACCCCGTCTCTACTAAAAATACAAAAAATTAGCTGGGCATGGTGGCGCGTGCCTGTAATCCCAGCTACTCAGGAGGCTGAGGCAGGAGAATTGCCTGAAGCCAGGAGGCGGAGGTTGCGGTGAGCCGAGAGCGCGCCATTGCACTCCAGCCTGGGTAACAAGAGCGAAACTCCGTCTCAAAAAAAAAAAAAAAAAAAAAAAAAGAAACTTCCTACAAAAGTATACTGAATATTACAAATTAACTCTACCTCCCATGTGAGTATAGCCTCCTGATTAAGAAACCCTTGCTTATTATTCCCTTCAGCTAAAATTTTCTAGCTTTACTTTCCATAGATTATATTACAGAATCAATAGGTTTTCACCCAAATGTAAAATTGTTGTGTTTATTAATTTAACAGATATTTATGGGATGTTACTCTGTGTTAGAACTGTGCTTTCTCAAGAATCATGTAAGCACCTCCCAATGCTTATACCACCATACTTCTTCCCTGGACATTCTAATGTATCTCTTAACTGTTGATTGAAAATCAGGAGTTAAGGCTGGGCACGGTGGCTCACGCCTATAATCCCAGCACTTTGGGAGGCCGAGGCGGGTGGATCACAAGGTCAAGAGATTGAGACCATCCTAGTCAACAAGGTGAAACCCCGTCTACTAAAAATACAAAAATTAGCTGGGTGTGGTGGCGTGTGCCTGTAGTCCCAGCTACTCGGGAGGCTGAGGCAGGAGAATTGCCTGAATCCAGGAGGCACAGGGTGCGGTGAGCCAAGATTGTGCCATTGCACTCCAGTCTGGGTAACAAGTGAAACTCCGCCTCAAAAAAAAAAAAAAAAGAAAGAAAATCAGGAGTTATTAATCTGGGGTTCAGACATATTGGTCTAGGCTATTTTTTTTTTTTTTTTTGATACGGAGTTTCGCTCTTGTTACCCAGGCTGGAGTGCAATGGCACGACCTCGGCTCACCGCAACCTCCGCCTCCTGAGTTCAGGCAATTCTCCTGCCTCAGCCTCCTGAGTAGCTGGGATTACAGGCACGCACCACCATGCCCAGCTAATTTTTTGTATTTTTAGTAGAGACGGGGTTTCACCATGTTGACCAGGATGGTCTCGATCTCTTGACCTCGTGATCCACCCGCCTCGGCCTCCCAAAGTGCTGGGATTACAGGCGTGAGCCACTGCACCTGGCCAAGGCTATTTTTTTTTTTTTTGAGATGGAGTCTTGCTGTGTCACCCAGGCTGGAGTGCAGTGGTACAATCTCAGCTCACGGCAATCTCCACCTCCTGGGTTCAAGCGATTCTCCTGCCTCAGCCTGCTGAGTAGCTGAAATTACAGGCATGTGCCACTTGCTCAGCTAATTTTTGTATTTTTAGTAGTGATGGGGTTTTACCATGTTGGCCAAGCTGGTCTTGAACTCCTGATCTCAAGTGATCCACTCATCTCAGCCTCTTAAAGTGCTGGGGGAGACTGGCCTAGGCTATTCTTTAAACCTGCAAATGATAGGCAAGGTTGTACCTTTGTGTGCTTCTGTACTTTTCTTTTCTTTCTTTTTTTAAAGAGAGTGTATAGCTTGTGATCTGTTACTAATTAAAGAGATTAAAATAATGGGAAAATAGGATATTACTTTCAAAAAAATCAATTGATAGGAAACTCTTCTGGGCCATCTACATGAAATAAAGAATATCTATTTTTAGACAGAAAGTGCTAAATAGTATTGCTGGCTTTTGTAAGTATGGAAACTATTATATAGAAACACTGAAGTTCAAAGGCTATTAAATCTAGCTATTTTGATTTACAGATTAAAGAGACGGTAATAAACGGATTGGAAAACATGGGAGGTAAGATGAATGTAACTTATTTATTATATTCATCTGCTTAGCAGATGAAGTCTTTTTTAAAGTTTTTGTTTATTTTATTTTATTTTTATTAAAATTTTTGAGACGGAGTCTCACTCTGTCATCGAGGCTGGAGTGCAGTGGTGCGCTCTGGGCTCACAGCAATCTCTGCCTCCTGGGTTCAAGCAGTTCTCCTGCCTCAGCCTCCCAAGTAGCTGGGATTACAGGTGTGCACCCCCACACCTGGCTAATTTTTGTATTTTTAAGTAGAGACGGGTTTCACCATGTTGGTTAGGCTGGTCTCAAACCCCAGACCCAATGATCCACCCACCTCAGCCTCCCAAAGTGCTGGGATTACAGGCATGAGCCACTCGCCTGCTAAAGTCTTTTATCTTTTTTTTTTTTCTTTCTTTCTTTTTTTTTTTTTTTTTTTTGAGACGTAGTCTTACTCTGTCTCCCAGGCTGGAGTGCAGTGGTGTGATCTTGGCTCACTGCAACCTTCACTTCCCAAGATCAATTGATTCTCCTGCCTTAGCCTCCCAAGTAGCTGGGACTACAGTGCCTGGTTTATTTTTGTATTTTTAGTAGAGATGGGGTTTCACCATATTGGCCAGGCAGTTTGAACTCTCGAACTCAAGTGATTTGCCCGCCTCAGCCTCTCAAAGTGCTAGGATTACAGGCATGAGCCACCTTGCCTGGCCAAAGTTTTTTATCTTTTAATACTACCTCTCTGGTGTTTTCTTGTATTCTTTTCTTTCTTTTTTTTTTTTTTTTTTAAAGAAATAGTCTCGTTCTGCTGCCCAGGCTGGAGGGCAGTGACATGATCATAGCTGACTGTAACTTATGAACCCCTGGGATCAAGCAATCCTCTCACCAAAGTAGCTGGGACTACAATTAACTGCCACCATGCTCAGCTCTTTTTTTTTTTTTTTTTTTTTTTTAATTTTCCATAGAAACCTTGTCTCTACTAAAAATACAAAAAAATAGCTAGGCGTGGTGGCATGCACCTATAGTCCCAGCTACTGGGGAGGCTGAGGCAGGAGAATCACTTGAAGCTGGGAGGCAGAGGTTGCAGTGAGCCAAGATTGTGCCACTGCACTCTAGCCTGGTGACAGAGTTAGACTCTGTCTCAAAAAAAAAAAAAAAGGAAAATAAAAATAGGGTCTCATTATTGCCCAGGAAACTCCTGGCTTCAAGTGATCCTCCTGCCTCAGCCTCCCAAAATGCTGGAGTTTACAGGTGTGAGTGCCTGGCCCTTTTTAAAAAATTTTGAGACAGGGTCATGCTTTGTCACCCGGGCTAGAGTGCAGTGGTGCAATCATGGCTCACTGCAGCCTCTACCTCCCAGGCTCAAGCAATATTCCCACCTCAGCCCCCCAAGTCGCTGGTACTACAGGCACACACCACCAATCCCGGCTGATTTTTGTATTTTTATTAGAGATGGGGTTTCACCATATGGGCCAGGCTGGTCACAAACTCCTGACCTCAAGTATCTGCCCACTTTGGCTTCCCAAAGTGCTGTGATTACAGTTATGAGGCACCATGCTTGCCCTTCACTGACCTTTTATTCCCATATTTGTTTTTGGCTCTAGTCTTCAGACACTGTAAAGAATGATCATTGATGTACATACCAGTTAGATACCAATTAAATATTTCCAATATAGGTAAAAGTTCTTTGAGATGTTAATTGGGTTAGTTTGTATATAACTTTTTACTTGAGATTTCTTTTCATGACAGTTTTCTTCTGTGATTAATATTCAAAATAATTGAAGAAGTTATTGAAACTAATTTTATATGTTATATCTTCTGGAAACAAGTGTGACAGTGACATTTATCTTTTCAGATAACCTATTTTCTCTTTTTCCAGCTGCATTTCAGTCCATGATGACAGGAGGTAACATTGGAAAGCAGATAGTTTGCATTTCAGAAGAAATCGCTTTGTAATCACTGTAAATATCATCAAGGCAATCACAGCTTTCTTTCCCATTTTGCGTATTTTCAAAGATACGTTAAAAAATCCTTAGGACATACGTAGCTCTTGATTTAAATGTGATCATAGGTGTTATTTTTAGTGGCCATAGGGGATTTGATATACTCATTAATGAATCATACATGTTTTTAAAAATTAATAACTTTTTAAAAAATAGAATGCTTGAGAGGTGCTTAGTAAAGATTTGTTAAACTAGAAACGTTTTACATGATCTGATACAACCATTAATGACTCTTACACAATAAGTTTTTTAAAATTAATGTTTAGTAATAACTTTTATTAAAATAGATTGCTTTAAAAAATAGAATGAGAATGCCTGAGAAGCACTTAGTAAAGATTTGTTGAACTAGACATGTTTTACGTGATTCTTAAATTGAAACTTGGTGTAAGAATAGAATTGAGATGGCCTTTTCTTCACATTGTAGACAGAAAAGGCTTAATAGTATGATGTGTACATAGGGACTGGGAGCAGGATTGGGGGTTTCAGAGCTTGTGGAAGTTTTTGGGATAGAAGACCAGCAGCTTTGGGTCGAGAGTAGTATGGGAAAATACATAACTGAGGTTGATTAAGTTGATAGATTTACTCCAAAGGATGATCGCTTTGTATTTTGCCAAATAATTTATAGCCTAAAAACTCAATATATATTGAGAAAAGTATATGTTTATTTTATGTTAGCAGGCACATACTGTCAAATAGTTGTAAAGATTGAGAGCACAGATAGATGTAAACATCACTTGGAGTTTTAGGTGATTAAAAAGACTGATGGCCGGGTGCGATGGCTCATGCCTCAAATCCTAGCACTTTAGGAGGCAGAGGCAGGTGGATCACTTTAGGTCAGGAGTTCGAGACCAGCCTGGCCAACATGGTGAAACCCTGTCTCTAAAAATACAAAAAATTAGCTGGGCATGGTGGTGGGTGTCTGTAATCCCAGCTAGTCAGGAGACTAGGGCTGGAGAATCGTTTGAACCTGGGAGGCGGAGGTTGCAGTGAGGTGACATTGGGCCATTGCACTCCAGACTGGACAAGAGTGAAACTCTGTCTCAAAAAATACAAAAAATTAGCTGGGCATGGTGGTGGGTGTCTGTAATCCCAGCTAGTCAGGAGACTAGGGCTGGAGAATCGTTTGAACCTGGGAGGCGGAGGTTGCAGTGAGGTGACATTGGGCCATTGCACTCCAGACTGGACAAGAGTGAAACTCTGTCTCAAAAAACAAAAACAGATTGACAACAAAGACAGCTTCAGAAAATGACAGGACTGGGCAAATTAAAAATGTTTGTAAACATGAATGTTTAGAACCTACTGATGTATGTCAATAAGAGTTTGTTTTATTAACTGTAATCAATCCTCGCAGAACAGTAAAACTGAAGATTTTCTTGAATGTTTTGGCTTATGATTGTCTACACCCTGCCAATATAATTTTGTATGCAACATTTGTAATCAGTAGATTCAAATTGTGTTGGTAATCAGCCTCTCCAGTTTACTTGAGTGGCCTTTTCTTGTTACTTTTCCTGTACCATTTCATCTCCTGAGAGGGGTTCGTCTTTTCTCTGTATGTTAACTAACTCCCAAATCTCCATCTGTATTTCCGACCTCTTTCTTGAGCACTGGACCTTCATCTGCAACCTCCAATATCCTCAACTCTGGATTGGCACCTTACACAGTGCTTTTTTGTTTTTGAAAGGGTCTCGCTCTGTCGCCCAGGCTGGAGTGCAGTGGTGCCATCTCAGCTTACTGGAACCTCCGTCTCCCCGGTTCAAGCGATTCTCCTGCCTCAGCCTCCCAGGTAGCTAGGATACAAGCTCGTGCTATCAGGCCTGGTTCATTTTTTTGTATTTTTAGTAGATAGTGCCACCACGCCTGGCTACATTTTTTGTATTTTTAGTAGAGACGGGGTTTCACCGTCTTAGTCAGGATGGTCCCCAACCTCAAGTGATCCGCCCGCCTCGGCCTCCCAAAGTGCTGGGATTACAGGCGTGAGCCACTGCGCCTGGCCTACTCTGCTTTTCTAAAGAGGAATTATCTTCCTCTGAAACATTTCTCCTTTTCTTTAAATCACCATTAGTAATTCGTGCACCCAAACTTGTCATCAAGGCTTATCTTTAACCTTGAAAATGATTTTTTTTTCTTTTTTTGAGGCGGAGTTCCGCTCTTGTTGCCCAGGCTGGAGTGCAATGGTGTGATCTCGGCTCACTGCAACCTCCGCCTCGCGGATTCCAGCGATTCTCCTGCCTCAGCCTCCCGAGAAGGTGGGATTACAGGCATGTGCCACCACGCCCGGCTAGAAATGCTTTTTTAAAGAGAACTCCTTTAATTCCCACGGCTGCAACGTTAGTTGAGTCTCTCATTCTTCCACACGTAAATATTTAAATCTAATTTAAAGAAGTCAGTCTAACTCATAAAGCTTTAACAAGCAGTGGCTTCCAGCCTGGAAGTCAAGTGTTCAACCCCCAGTTGGGACATCCAGGAGCTCTTTACATCCTAATTACAACACTCACTCACTGCATAGCCAGACTCACTGCATAGCCCGTCCCGTATATAATGCAAAACTTGATTCTGCAAGTTGCTTTCTAGGGCGGTGAAACTTCGAGGTCCTCGCCATTGAGACCTCTGGTAAATGTTTAAGTAGTCATCTTTTCTTTCTCGTTTGCATCCATTGCAACGCCTCCGCCGATGGGAAAAACTACTCCCTCCGCTACTGCGGGGAGGGGGTGACGTCACATAATTAGCTGACCTGTTTTTTCAGGTTTCGGGGACCTAGAAGCCCCGAAGGCCGAGAGTGAATGAGTGGGATGGGGACGGGGCTGAGGCTCCTCCTGTCAGGGGCTGGGCCTTGCGTCGTGGGCCTGGGCAGGGAGCAGCCGTGACGTCAGGGCCCGGAGCGGTGCGGCTGCCGCCAGACCCTGCGGCAAGAGAGTGGGTGTGTGCGTGGGGGGTCGGCCAAACTTCCTGTCCCGCGCTCGAGCTGCTTCCGGCGGGAGCCGGAAGACGCTGTGTGTGGACGGAATTCGGGACCGACTGACGGCCTGCCGGCTGCCCGGAACTAGAAGGTGAACTCCGAGGTGGGCCTGGCCACACCTGCTCCGCTAGGTAGTACCCTTGAGGGCGGGAGCCAGTACCGGCTACTTGGGGGCTGGGGCCGCGTTCGCCCCGGGAGAGAATGAGGAAACCGCCTTCTTTGGGCATCCTTCCCGGATCTGGCGGGCTCGGGAGCGGCCAGTCTGAAGCCCAGCGGCTTCGGCCCTTCCCCTCGCGAGTTTTTAGGGGCGATTTTCCAGCTCCTTTGCTTGGTTTTGGGGGCAGGGACATGGGAACAGTCTGTCCTGAGAAAGCCGGAGTCAGCGAGTCCCCGGGGCGGGGACTCTCGGACTACACCCGCAGCCGGGGCCTGCCTACGGACCTTGGGGCCTTATTACTAAGGCCTTTGTGGTTGGGGGTAGAGGTTGCCAGGAGGCCCTCCCCTGAACGTTTCAGTCCAGCGCTTTCCTCTCCTTTCATACCACTTACTTTCTGGGTCTGGAAGAGGGACAGCTGCCTACTCGGCTGGGCTGGGCTGGGCTGGGCTGGGCTGGGCTGCCGGTTTCTCCTTTGCCTGTCAATTGGGGGAGTAGAGGAGAGTGTGCGGGTTGTGTTTACAGCTTTTATGCATTTCGCGTCAAATTTATCTTCTGAAGTTTCTCAAGATAATCCGATTTATTAAAAGTTAATCCCACTTGCTCATGAGGCTCGGAAATGCATTTAGGCACCATTTGGAAGTTAAATATTGTTAACTTGGGACTTAAGAATTAGTACTTAGGTTGGCACAAAGGTCAACGCAGCATATTTACAGGAAATAAAAGAAACATTTGGAAATAAAGTCGGGCCTTTTGTTAGGAAGTGAGAAATTGCACTTTGTGTTATCTTAGTGTGGTGCAGAGTAAAAGACAACTAAAGTAGCAGTCAAGTTTTAGGTTGTAGTTTTTTACGTTTTGCATCTAAATAGATGTCTGATTTTTGGCAAGTTACTTCATCTCTAACTCTGGGGAGTTTTTCTGTATAAACGAAGGGGATTACCCTGAGGGTTATGACAATTATTCTGAGGCACCGAACTTTGAATAGGAATGACAAGCATTTCTGTGTTTTGGAAAGATAACTTGAATGGGTGCATAAAAGATCGTTGGAAAGGGGAATTTTAAAGGTGGGTGACCTGTTAGAAGTCGGTTTTAATAGTATAGTAGGAAGTTACTGAGAAACCCAAACAGGGCATTACATAGGGAACAGAGAATCACGAGAATTATTTTAAAATGGAGAGTGAGAGAGATTTAAAGACCTAGAATTTGCAACTGAGTGGGAGGAAGATTGGGTGATCATTGAAACAGATAATATAAGAAGAAGAACAGGTTTGGTAAGATAATAATCTGGATTTTGGACAGTGTTAGGTTTGAGATGCTATTGGATATACATGTGGAGATACCTAGCAAGCAGTTAGAAATGAAGGTTTGGAGTTCAGAAGAGAGGACTAGAGAAAAATAGTTATCATTTGTAGTGTCATTCATTCATTATACAAATATTTATTTAGTACCTACCAGGTGCTTACTGGGAAGCTTGTATGGAAGCCTTTAAGCTCATAGTAAACACATTAGAAGTGGGAAGTGACTGGTATTGGGCATAGGATTTCCTTGTGGGGTGATGAAATGTAAAATTGATCATGGTTTTGGTTGCACAACTCTGAATAAACTAAAGATATTTTAATTGTACTCTTAAAATGAGTCAATAGTATGGTTTGTGAATTATATCTTAGTGAAACTAATTTTTAAAAAAGATTTACTTTGCAGTTTTGGCAATCAAGTTGAGTAAGGAATTGGGAATAGGAATGTTTAATTGCATATTAGCCCTTACACCTGTAGCTAATGTACATGGTACGTTGCTGTGTTAAAGATGAGATCCCCACGATACACTTGATAAGATGCTGAGTGCTGTAGTACAGATTCTTTTGAATTCAGTTGTGTATCTTAATGCATCCTGCTGTTTTCTATTTTATTCATATTGTACACATACAAATCATAAACTTGGGCACCAAAATTGTATGGCAGTACTTAGTTATAATATGAATACCCACTTTGAGAAAATGCTCATGTTAATTTTTAAAGATTACTGAAGCAAAAACCCTGAAATAAAAAGATGTCTTAGATATAAGGGACAGTAAATAGTTGTCTGGTTCCTTAGAGATTTTACAATCCTGGAATCTCAAAGTTGGAGGAACCTTAAGAATGACTTAAACAACAAACATATGGTAATTTCTTGGCTTGTTAAGACAAGCTGGAATTGGGGAAGAGGAATTCTTGTTTTTTTGAGAGTCTCCCTTTGTTACCCAAGCTGGAGTACGGTGGCATCATTGCTGCTCAGTGCAGCCTCGATCTCCTGGGCTAAAGCGATCCTCCTACTCAGCCTCCCAAGTAGCTAGGACCACAGGCATGTGCCACCATGAGAAGCTAATTGGAAATTTGTTGTTGTTGTTGAAATAGGATCTCTCTGTGTTACCTAGGCTGGGAAGAGGAATTCTTAAGCCATGAAGATTCAAGATCAAACCTAGAATATATAATAATCACTATTCATGCCAGTGATTCCTGTGTACCTCCTCTGTGGGTGGGAGTCCTGGCTTTGTAATTTAATAACTTGGTAATTAAATAATATACTGAGCCTTGGTTCCCTCCTTACTAAGTAAAGGGATGGATAAATCATATAAAGCTGTTGCAGTGCTTGAATAAGAAAAATGTGTGTGGAAGGAAAAAAAGGGATTTATGATACTTCATGTGGGAAACTTGAAAGGAGCATTTCCATCTATATCTTATAAATGGTTACTTCTTTACAATGAAAAATGAGGATTTCAGGCAGCTAGAAAGAGAGAGGGAGGAACCAACAGGAAAAAAAAGAGAGACCATTTATTCAGGTACTTCTTTTTTTTTTGAGCTGGAGTCTTGCTTTGTCACCCAGGCTGGAGTGCAGTGGCGTGATCTCAGCTCACTGTAACCTCCATCTCCCGAGTTCAAGTGATTCTCCTGCCTCAGCCTCCTGAGTAGCTGGGATTACAGGCACTTGCCACATGCCTGGCTAATTTTTGTATTTTTGGTAGAAACAGTTTTGTCATATTAACCAGACTGGTCTCAAACTCCTGACCTCAGATGATCTTACTACCTTGGCTTCCCAAAGTGTTAGGATTACAGGCGTGAGCCACTGCACCTGGCCTAAGTGCCCTCTTTGTAAAGTCTGTCTTGTTCTGCCTTTCCATGCTACCTGGTATTAATTGGAAACTTACAGTACCCATTGATTGAAAATATACCCATCCTGGATACAGTTTACACTGTATAATTATTTATAATAATGCTCTCAATTTTAGCAACAATTATTTCAAATAAAATGGACTCACACTCCAAAATCCTGAAAAGAAACTAAGCTTTTTTTTTTTTTTTTTTTTTTTTGAGACGGAGTTTCACTCCTGTTACCCAGGCTGGAGTGCAATGGCGCCATCTCGGCTCACCGCAACCTCCGCCTCCTGGGTTCAGGCAATTCTCCTGCCTCAGCCTCCTGAGTAGCTGGGATTACAGGCACGTGCCACCATGCCCAGCTAATTTTTTGTATTTTTAGTAGAGACGGGGTTTCACCATGTTGACCAGGATGGTCTCGATCTCTTGACCTCGTGATCCACCCGCCTCGGCCTCCCAAAGTGCTGGGATTACAGGCTTGAGCCACCGCGCCCGGCCGGAAACTAAGCTTTAAGAAAGTAAGAATTTAAATTATAGGGAGTGGCTGGGCACAGTAGCTCATACTTATAATTCCAGCACTTTGGGAGCCTGAGGTAGGCAGATCACCTGAGGTTGGGAGTTCAAGACCAGCCTGACTAACATGGTGAAACCCGTGTCTACTAAAAATACAAAATTAGCTGGGCCTGGTGGTGCATGCCTGTAATCCCCGTTACTTGGAAGGCTGAAGCAGGAGATTTGCTTAAGCCCGGGAGGCGGAGGTTGCTGTGAACCAAGATCATGCCACTGTACTCCAGCCTGGGCAACAAGAGTGAAACTCTGACCCAAAATAAATAAATAAAGTAAATTATAAGGAGAGAACAGCTGCATCAGGGTCCTGAGAATATTATATTTGGGAAAGACTCTTCAAATTTCAACTTTTTCTTTAATGTAATTTTAAAAATTATAAAAACAATATGGTTGCCTTTTAGAAAAGTTGGAAAATTGAGAAAAGAAAATTGAGTCACACCAGCCTACCACACAGTATAGCTACTGTCATAGCTATATGAATCTCCTTTACTTTTTCTGATGCTTATTATAAATAGTTTTGATAATAGCAAGTATATAATTTAGTATTTTATTTTTATAATTTTTTTTTTTGAGACACAGTCTCGCTCTGTCAACCAGGCTGGAGTACAGTGGCACGATCTCAGCTCACTGCAACCTCCGCCTCCCGGGTTCAGCTGATTCTCCTGCCTTAGCCTCCAGCGTAGCTGGGATTACAGGCGCATGCTACCACGTCCAGCTAATTTTTGTTTTTAGTAGAGATGGGTTTCACCGTGTTGGTCAGGCTGGTCCCGAACTCCTAACCTAAGGTGATTCACCAGCCTTGGTCTCCCAAAGTGTTGGGCTAGTATCCACTGCACCTGGCCTTATTTTTATAGTTTAACACGTCAGTCATCTGCTGTTGCATTGTCTTCATAGCATTTATTTGTTTGTTTGTTTTTTGAGATGGAGTTTCACTCTGTCACCCAGGCTGGAGTGTGATGGTTCGATCTTGGCTCACTGCAACCTTCACCTCCTGGGTTCAAGGGATTCTTCTGCCTCAGCCTCTCGAGTAGCTGGGATTGCAGGTGCCTGCCACCATGCCCAGCTAATTTTTGTATTTTTAGTAGAGATGGGTTTTCACTATGTTGGCTAGGCTGGTCTTGAACTCAAGTGATCCACCTGCTTCAGTCTACCAAAGTGCTGGGATTACAGGTGTAAGCCACCATGCCCAACCATTCATAGCATATTTTGAAGTGACAGTGCCATATTTCATCAACGATTCCCTAATTGGGGCGTGTGTGTGTGTGTATGTCTGTGTATGTGTGTGTGTGTGTGTGTGTGTATACACGTGCATACATACATACATTGCTTCCAGTTTATTATTACATAGGATAAGATGGACATCTTTGGACATAGTTATATCCATATTTAAGATAGTTTCTTAGAATAGATTATTAGAGGTTGAAATACTGCGTCAAAGTGTAATATGTTAATGGGTTTTGATGCCTGTTGAGCTTGTTGTATTTTAAAACCAGTGTTTTCATTTGAATTCTTTATTTGCTTGCTTATTGTGAGTTTTTTGGATATGTAAAGAAGTGCCTTTATGTAGCTGTGTTTTCCCACTGCTCTTAATGCCCCCTCTCTCTTTTTTACCCCTATTCTAGGTTAAATTGATTACCTACCTAGTACAACATCTTAACAGGAAGAGCATAGTATTTCCTAGAGGAATATGAACATAACAGGAAGGTATCATTGGCTCTGAATTAAATTTGAACTTGTCCCCTGAATAGCTACAGGTTTTGGAAGCTGAATCAATGTTATCAGATGAGTTAGAATCCAAACCAGAGGTGAGCCCAGTCAGCTTGTTTCCTTTTGTTTTGGTGGGCTGTATTTTAAAGTTTATTTTTAGTTCGGGGTCAGCAAACTTTTTCTTTAATGGGCCAGATAATAAATATTTTAGGTTTTATAAGCTATATGGTTTTGATGGTTGCTAAGTATTTTTTCAAAGATTTAAAAATTATGTTTTTATCTTTTATGATTGTTTTTATATTTGTTTTTCAGTATATGTAAAATCATTATACATTTAGATAATTATGTAATAAAATCTTATAAATAAAAATATATGTTTATATATGTATATATTTACATAAATATGAGATATATGTGGTGAATAGGTGTATACATATGTAAATATTTACTACCACAAATTCTTTTTATTTTATGTATATCCGTAAGTATTTTCTTTCTAAATGTGATTAGGGGATTTAAACATTTTTTTTTTTTTTGAGACGAAGTTTCGCTGTTGTTACCCAGGCTGGAGTGCAATGGTGCGATCTCGGCTCACCACAACCTCCACCTCCTGAGTTCAGGCGATTCTCCTCCCTCAGCCTCCTGAGTAGCTGGGATTATAGGCACGCGCTACCATGCCCAGCTAATTTTTTTTGTATTTTTAGTAGAGACGGGGTTTCACCATGTTGACCAGGATGGTCTCGATCTCTTGACCTCGTGATCAACCCGCCTTGGCCTCCCAAAGTGCTGAGATTATAGGCTTGAGCCTCCGCACCGGGTCTAAACATTTTTTTTGTTGTTGTTCTCTTTTCTTATTTAAATTTAGCACTTCTGTGTTGCAGAGTGGTTACTGATTTTAGAATCAGATTACTTAAATTTGAGGACTGCCATTCTGCCTAACTAGTCATGTGACCTTAGACAAGTCACGTAACGTCTTCCATTTGATTCCTCAGCTGTAAAATACACCTTAAATCTTACTGCATTAATGTGATGATTAATGAGCCAGTACACAGAAAAGTGCTTTGTAAAGTGTAATCAATATGATGCAGTTGATTTTTTTAAGTTATTATTTTAAAATATAATTATTTTTTATCATTTCTCTATTTGACAGATGGTGGCAGAGGTTAACTTAATCACAGTGAAGTGTCACTTAGCAATAGAGATACATGCTGAGAAATATGACATTAGGTGATTTCATTATTATGCAAACATGTTAGAGTATACTTACACAAACCTGGATGATTTAGCCTGCTACACTCCTAGGCTGCAAACCTATACAACATGTTACTGTACTGAGTACTGTAGGCAGTTGAAACACAGTGGTAAACATTTGTGTATCTAAACATATCTAGGCATGGGAAAAGTACAATAAAAATAGGGTATTACAGTCTTACGGGACCATCGTCCTATATGTGGCCTGTTAACTGAAATGTTATACAGCACATCACTTTATATAACAGCCATTCTCTTGAACAGAGAACTTGATAAAATAACTTTAGATATTACGTTGTTTAGTTTTTCTTTGAATATGGATGAGAGACTAGTGAACAGTCTTAATTATACTACCTTTTGGTAAATTCAGAGGTTTAGATACATTTCTAACAAATTGTATTTCTCAGTGTTGTCTTTTTTCCCCCCAGCTCCTGGTACAGTTTGTTCAGAATACGTCCATCCCTCTGGGACAGGGTCTAGTAGAATCAGAAGCTAAAGATATTACTTGTTTGTCCCTCCTTCCTGTGACTGAAACCTCAGAATGCAGTCGGCTAATGTTACCAGGTAAAAATTAAGATCACTAGAAGAGATAGGATAAAGAAGTCTTAAGAACTTAGCCTACTCTTATGTTACTGGTGTAATGAATATATCACTTAATAACTCACTGGTAAAAATTAGGAGTCATGGAGAAAAAGCAATCATGAAATCATTAGTGCGTTGGTAGTTTAAGCCATAGGAACATAGATGATCACCCAGAGAGTGTAAGAATGGGGAAAAAGGGCCGGGCGCGGTGGCTCACGCCTGTAATCCCAGCACTTTGGGAGGCCGAGGCGGGCAGATCACGAGGTTAAGAGATTGAGGCCATCCTGGTCAACATGGTGAAACCCCGTCTCTACTAAAAATACAAAAAATTAGCTAGGCATGTTGGCACGTGCCTGTAATCCCAGCTACTCAGGAGGCTGAGGCAGGAGAATTGCCTGAACCCAGGAGGCGGAGGTTGCGGTGAGCCGAGATCGCGCCATTGTACTCCAGCTTGGGTAACAAGAGCGAAACTCCAAAAAAAAAAAAAAAAAAAAAAAAAGAATGGGGAAAAAAAGGCTAAGACAAAACTGTGGAACTCTATATTTAAGGTACAGCGTAGGGCAGGAGAACCTGTAAAGGAAGGAAGAAACAAAGACTAGAGTAGTTACGGCCAGGCACAGTGGCTCATGCCTGTAATCCCAGCACTTTGGGAGGCTGAGGCAGGAGGACTACTTGAGCCCAGGAGATTGAGACCAGCCTGGGCAACATGGCAAGACCTCGTCTCTACGAAAAATTAGAAATTAGCTGGGCATGGTAGTGTGCGCCTTTAGTCCTGGCTGCTTAGGAAGCTGAGGTGGGAAGATTACTTGAGCCCAGGAGTTTCAGGCTACAATAAGGCATGATTGTGCCACTGCACTCCATCCTGAGTGGACAGAGCAAGACACTGTCTAAAAAAAATAGTAATAATAAATTAAATATATATATTTATAGGCAATGAATAATTAAGGAAATGAAAACAGAAGAGGGTGTCCATCTTCCCTTAGAATAACTGTTACCAGGCCGGGCGCGGTGGCTCAAGCCTGTAATCCCAGCACTTTGGGAGGCCGAGGCGGGTGGATCACGAGGTCGAGAGATCGAGACCAACCATGGTCAACATGGTGAAACCCCGTCTCTACTAAAAATACAAAAGATTAGCTGGGCATAGTGGCGTGTGCCTGTAATCCCAGCTACTCAGGAGGCTGAGGCAGGAGAATTGCCTGAACCCAGGAGGCGGAGGTTGCGGTGAGCCGAGATCGCGCCATTGCACTCCAGCCTGAGTAACAAGAGCAAAACTCCGTCTCAAAAAAAAAAAAAAAAAAAAAAGAATAACTGTTACCATAAAGATGGTAGATAACAAGTGTTGACGAAGATATGGAGAAAAGGGAACATTTGTACACTGTTGGTTGGAATGTAAGTTAGTCCAGCCATTATGGAAACCATATGGAAGTTCCTCAGAAAACTAAAAATAGAGCTACCATATGACCCTGCGATCTCACTTGTAGGTATATATCCAAAGGAATTGAAATCAGTAAGTCAAAGATGTCTACGCTTACTTGTTAATTGCAGCATTATTCATAATAACCAAGATATGGAATCAGCTTTAATGTTCATCAACTGACAAATGGATTAAAAAAAAAAAGTACATTTGCTGGGCCTGGTGGCTCGTGCCTGTAGTCCCAGCTACTCAGGAGACTGAGGTGGGAGGATTGCTTGGGCTCAGGAGTTCTGGGCTGTTACAGTGTGCTATGCTGATCAGGTGTCTGCACTAAGTTCGGCATCAATATGGTGACCTGGGAGCGGGGGACCACCAGGTTACCTAAGGAGGGGGGAACCAGCCCAGGTCGGAAATGGAGCAGGTGAAAACTCCCTTGCTGATCAGTAGTGGCATCATGCCTGTGAATAGCCACTGCATTCCAGCCTGGGCAACATAACAAGACCCTGTCTCTAAGAAAAAAAAAAGTACATTTACCTTTTCCATGTTTTAGTTTTAATTTTGATTTAAAGTATTTTAGACATACAAATATAGATATAAATGAAAACCTAAATACTTGCCTCCCAGGTCATAAAACACAGTATTACAGGCTGGTTGTATGCCAATAGTCCCAGTACTTTGGGAGGCCGAGGCGGGTGGATCACTTCAGGTCAGGAGTTCGAGACCAGCCTGGCTGGTGAAACCCTGTCTCTACTAAAAGTACAAAAGTTAGCCAGGCATGGTGGCATTGAAAAAATACCACAGCCTGAGAAACAGGCAGAGGTTAAAAAGGTAATGGCAAAAACTGCAATAGCTTTTCACCAACCTAATATAAAAGTTAAGGAGAGGGAACTCTCTCCAAGAAAAATAAAGTGTAGATCTTATTCTTGAGTTAGTATTCATTGTATAGCTATATTTTTCAAGGACAAAGTACTGATTTCTGGCCTCAAAAAGGACTAAATTCTGTAATGTCCTAATGTGAATGGTTAGTTATTCGCCAACCATTACTGCCAAGTGACAGAGGATTCTGTTCTTCACTTTTTAGCTGACTGCCTTTAGAACTTAAAGCCATCTCTCTGTTCTTCTGTGAGACAAAGTTTTTATTTGTATAATGAGAATGCTGTCTACTCTTTTTTTTTTTTTTTTGAGGAGGAGTTTCGCTCTTGTTACCCAGGCTGGAGTGCAGTGGTGGCGCAATCTCGGCTCACCGCGATCTCCGCCTCCTGGGTTCAGGCAATTCTCCTGCCTCAGCCTCCTGAGTAGCTGGGATTACAGGCACGCATCACCATGCCCAGCTAATTTTTTGTATTTTTAGTAGAGACGGGGTTTCTCCATGTTGACCAGGATGGTCTTGATCTCTTGACCTCGCGATCCACCCGCCTCACCCTTCCAAAGTGCTGGGATTACAGGCGTGAGCCACCGCGCCCAGCTGCTGTCTACTCTTATAACAATGTTAGCTTCCAAGAGATGTTTGGTGCTGTGTATCAAAATGGTGAGCTCCTGAAAATAGGTGCTACATAAAGCTGTGGTATTTTCCCTTTACTAGATGATACTACAAATCATTCTAACTCCTCCAAGGAGGTCCCTTCCTCAGCTGTTTTGAGAAGCCTTCGGGTGAATGTTGGTCCAGACGGAGAGGAGACGAGGGCTCAAACTGTACAGAAATCCCCAGAGTTTTTGTCCACTTCAGAGTCTTCTAGCTTGTTGCAAGATCTACAGCCAAGTGATAACACTTCTTTTATTCTTCTCAACCTAACAAGAGCAGGTATTCTTTGCTTTTTTTTGAGTTCTCATGCCTAAGAAAAAAATTAGGGGTGGGGCATATTTAACTTAGACTTAAAATAGAAGCTTTATTATTTTGGAGAATTGCTGTGTCTGGTGACCATTTGAATATGTAGAGGGAGAGGGAGGACTCTAGTATGACTCTATGACTCATATCTTGTTTAGGAAATTAGATAGTGCCATTTACTGAGATAGCACAGGAAGAACAGGCTTGGAGGGAAGTGATTAGTTCAAATTTGTGCCTATTTATGTTGAGATTTTGGAGGGACATTCAGGAGGACGTGTCCTTTAGGGAGTTAGAAACAGGAATCCAGAGTTCTAGAAAGGTCAGTTCTGGTGCTTATCAGCATTCAGGAAATGTATGAAACAATGAGCATGGACTCTGATTCAAGGTCTGAAGCAGCCGGGCGTGGTGGCTCAAGCCTGTAATCCCAGCACTTTGGGAGGCCGAGGCGGGTGGATCACGAGGTCGAGAGATTGAGACCATCCTGGTCAACATGGTGAAACCCCGTCTCTACTAAAAATACAAAAAATTAGCTGGGCATGGTGGCGCGTGCCTGTAATCCCAGCTACTCAGGAGGCTGAGGCAGGAGAATTGCCTGAACCCAGGAGGCGGAGGTTGCGGTGAGCTGAGATAGCGCCATTGCACTCCAGCCTGGGTAACAAGAGCGAAACTCCGTCTCAAAAAAAAAAAAGAAGGTCTGAAGCATAAACAGAAAAGAAGGCAAGTCTGGGACCCTGAAAAAAACATTTAAGGGGGCAACAGAAGAACAGGAAGGAGCAGCTGGAAGGGGATGAAGAGAACTAGGAGAGAATGGTAACGGGGAAGCCAAGGGAAGAAGTTTTAAGGCAGAAAAGATACAAATCATGCCAAATATTACATGATCGGCGTATTAGTGAGATGAAGTGTGTTTCTGGTGACCCTAGCAAGAGCAATTGTTACAGTGGTAGCTGACGTAGAGGCCAGGGTTAAAGAGATGGGAATGTAAGACAGTAGATATGCAAGTTAGAAGTACACTTGTTCAGGAAACTTGACTTTAAAGGAACAGGGAAGAAGGTAATATCTAGAGAAGTACTTGGGGTTTTCTGTTCTTTTAAGGTGAGAGACTTGAGTTAGGACATATTTAAAGACTGTAGGGAAATGCTGGCTGATAGGAACCAGTTGCAAATGGGAGAGAGGAAAAAACTGAAGTATATATGGGGGGATAATTGAAGAATGCGAATGAAATATTGTAGGTGGGGGTTAATCTCGTTGGCCAAGAAAGACAGCTTTGCCTCTGAAACCAGAGGAAAGTTAACGACAAGCCTACAGGCTAAAGATAGAAAGGTGATAGCCTACTCTTCAATGAGACGTTTGAGGTAAAAGGTGAAGGTCTGGAATAGCTTATGTAGGACATGGAGAGTTTTTGAGGAAGGGCAAATAAAAAGCATGGTTGCTAACTTTTCATGTAATTTGTTTCTTCCAGGTCTGGGCTCTTCAGCTGAGCACTTAGTGTTTGTACAGGATGAGGCAGAAGATTCAGGGAATGATTTTCTCTCCAGTGAGAGCACGGACAGTAGCATTCCATGGTTCCTCCGGGTTCAGGAGTTGGCCCATGACAGTTTGATTGCTGCTACTCGTGCACAACTGGCAAAAAATGCGAAAACCAGCAGCAATGGTGAGGACTGTCGGCATTTTCTTGCCACTACTATGTGCAAAGAGATTTGGTAATGCAGTGGCTACTTTGAGTTGTATATAATTCAAGTTATTTTATTGATGAGAACAGAAGGCTAGAAATCTGTAAATTGTTTAAATTTTATTTTCTATAAAATAACTTGGCCATGCCAGATTTGTGTCCAAAATTAACTAGTATTCTGAATTTTCAACTTTAATGTACAGAGCCCCTTTTAAAGAAAAAATAATACACATCTTGGGGTTTGAGTTGTTTTTATTGTAATGTCCCTTAAATATGCAAAAACAGAAATTCTGTGTAAAGTTTATATACCTAGAGCTCTTACACCATCATGAAATCGAAACAGTTATCAGTTAATAGAAATAAAACTACCAAACCCATGAAAATAAAAATAGTATTAAGTCATTGTGGCAGAGGATTATCTAAGTTGCTGCTCATGGCAGTTTATCAATTAAGTATGAAGTTTTTAATGCTTTTTCTTTTCAGTTCAGCATGCCTGTACTACTTTGTGCCACTTTTCTCTGTTCTGGTAATTTTCAAAGTATTGTCACTGGATCGTTGATGTTGCGTGGGAACTGAGAAATGCAAACTCTCAGGCCCATGCCAGACCTACTGGGTCAAAAACTTGGTTCTGATTCGTGTTGAAGCTTGAGAACCACGGTTCTAATCAAACCACTGCAGAATCTTTGCTTATGTAGCATGTTATTAATACTTTTTTAGGTCTGCCCTCTGTATTTTCTCATTAACGTGTGACGACTCAGTACTGCATGGTTCAGTGCTGTCATTATCACAAACTACGCTTAAACACTTAGTACACAGCTGTTTGGAGTTTATGCAGATGATCTAGTATATGCTTATTATTTTTTGATTACTATTCAAATGAAAATAAAAAGTTAAAATTTCTCATAGAGAACTAGAGTTTTCTGTGAATATTTTGAAACATATAATTTTTTTGGTCTTTTTTCCCTTTTTGTGGAAAATGCGGTTTTGCTATATTGCCCAGACAGGTCTCAAACTCCTGGACTCAGGTTCTCCTCCTGCCTCTGCCTCCCTAAGTCCTGGGATTATAGCTGTGAACCACTATGCCCAGCCAAACTCTAAACTTCTATTTGTTTTCAAAATACTTAGTTTTGTTTATGACTACCATAGTGGTACTTAGAATGGTTCATTTTACCATTTTGGTGGGGCCTTTAAAGTTCAGGTTCTTCCTGAGATGTATGTGCCAGTCTCTGGATGCTGAAACCTTCAGCATTTCCTCTTGCATTGAAGAAATAGTGCCATATTTGCTGGTGAGAAGCAGTGTAGAGAGGGGAGTTTGCAATTTAGAATCTAGGGTGTAGGATCTAGGCCTGGCACCATCATTTACTGGTTCCCTCCCTTGGGCAGTTTAACCTCCCTTAGCTTCAATTTTCTTACAGTCTGAACATAGAGATCAGGCAGCTTACCTGATTGGCTTGCTATGGAGATTATATAAAATTCTGTCTGGGAAATGCTATAATCAGCAAAGCATTGTGTGGATGTTTTCCTTACTCTCAAAATATATTGCCTTACTATCTTAACAACTATCATGTATGCCTAAATATTAAATCTCCCCAAATATAGGACAATCTTTCATTTTTCAACAAGGTAATTCCCTAAACACCTTTTTTTTTTAATATAAGTTAATTATGCAAACCTTTAGGCATGTAGATAAAATTAACATTGTAGGTTGCTATTTGGAAACTTTAGGATTTTGGTTATACATACACATTTTATTTTATTTTTGAGACCAAGTCTCGCTCTGTCGCCCAGGCTGGAGTGCAGTGGTGCAATCTCGGCTCACTGCAAACTCCGCCTCCCAGAACCAAGCAAGTCTCTGCCTCAGCCTCCGAAGTAGCTCGGAGTACATGTACATGCCACCATGAGTGGCTAATTTTTGTATTTTTGGTAGACACATGGTTTCACCATGTTGTCCATGGCTAGTCTCAAACTCCTGACCTCAGGTGGTCCACCTGCCTTGGCCTCCTGCAGTGCTGGGATTACAGGCATGAACCACTGCACCTGGCCTTACATATACATTTAAAATCATATGAAATATATCAATATTGCTTTCACCCACTAATACAAGCTCGTCCAACTCACAGCCTGTGGGTCACATGTAGCCCAGCATGCCTTTGAATACGTTCCAACACAAATTCATAAACTTTCTTAAAACATCATGAGGGGTGTGTGTGTGTGTGTGTGTGTGTGTGTGTTTTAAAGCTCACCAGCTATCCTTAATATATTTTATGTGTGGTCCAAGACAATTCTTCTTTCAGTGTGGCTCAGGGAAGCCAAAAGATTGGACACCCTTGCACTAACATGTAATGAAATGATTTTATTCAATATTTTAATGCATTTCTAACATAAATATCTTTGGCATTGTCAACACTGAAGTCATTTTGTTAGTCCTCTAGCATAGTTTTTCAGAGCACATTATCTTCACTTACAATCTAAGTTTGAAATACAGAAATGTTTTAATTTTGCATAAGATGTATATGAGACCAGCAAAGGCCTTTGGGCCAAATCCCCACTTGTTTTTATAAAGTTTTATGGGAACATAGGTATGCACATTACTTATAAATTGTCTAAGGCTGCTAATATGGCAAAGCTGAGTAGTTGTAACAGAAACCTCGTGGCGGCTGGGTGGAGTGGCTCACGCCTGTAATCCCAGCACTTTGGGAGGCCAAGGTGGGCAGATCACTGGAGGTCAGGTGTTCAGGACAAGCCTGGCCAACATGGTAGAACTCAAATATACTCTCTTCTGAGGGTTTCTTTTTTTAGGAAAAAATTTGCCTTATATTTATTTGAGCATATATTGATTATCTTCATTGTTGAACAGAAGGAATTTCAGTGATTTCTCAGCCTTGCCTTATTCCATGTATTCATTTTTTCCTGTTTTATGATTATGTCAATATTATATTTACAAAACTGAATGCAGAAAGTCCCTCTATCACTAATTTGATCTCTGTATTAGCATGATGTTTTTGGCCTGTGCAGTGGCTCACGCCTGTAATCCCAGCACTTTGGGAGGCCAAGGTGGGTGGATCTTTTGAGCTCAGAGTCCCTCCTGGGCAACATGGCAAAACACAATTTCTACAAAAAAAAAAAAAATACAAAAAATTAGCCAGGTGTGGTGGTGCGCACCTGTCTCTAGTCCCAGCTACTTGGGAGGCGAAGGTGGGAGGATCACCTGAGCCAGGAAGGTTGAGATTGCAGGGAACTGAGATCATGCCACTGGATTCCAGCCTGGGCAACAAAATGAGACCTTTTTAATTTAAAAGAAAAAAGTGTGATGTTTTAACAGACCTTTCAATAGAAATCAATTAGCTGGAGCTCTGGGGTTGGTGGGAAGATTCTTTCATAGCATGTGTATTTTTGTGCTACATGTGTAGTATTTTAAGTAAACATTTAAAAACCTTGGGACAATATTAAAGAAAAAGTTAATAGCAACTAGTAGAAAACATCCTAGGTTCTGCTCTGACCTTGGAGCAATTAGTTTTATGACTAGTATTTGGTAAAGTATAGCAAGGAGGATATTAATAGATGGGACAGAAACTGCCTTTGATTAACCGTCAGGTTCCAAGGATTGTGATAGGTACAACATGCATATTCTCTTTTGGCTGTTGAGGGAGAAATTGGAGACACAAATCTTATTGCTAAGGTACATTTAGTGGAAAGATATACTGCCTGGATATGCACATAGCAGAATTAAATGACTTAATTTTTTTTCCTCTATTGATGTTCAAGTATTTCTTGAAGAAAGTGAAGGAAAAGGACCACCACCTGCTAATCTGGAATTTATATAATATTTAAGTAACTGATTTCATTTACATTTAAGGGAAGCACTTTGTATTCTTCTCACCTCTCTTTATTCTGCTGAACAAAACTCCAGTAGATATTTTCTCTTACTTTTTAAAATGTGGTTAGAAATTTGAATCATCTGAGTTTTTGTATTCCTTAAGTATTTTATAACTAAAGGAGAATGGTACAGGAAATTGGAAGGTGATTTTTAGTTTCCAGAATGATAGGAAATGGCCAAATTCATTTCAGAAGATAGAAATCTAAAAATGGCCATCTGTCAAAGAAACCAGCTGTAAGCCCACACTGGGCCAGAATGACTGCTTCTCCTTAAAATGCAGTGGGGTTTTTTGTTTGTTTGGTTTTGAGACAGAGCCTTAACTCTGTTGCTCAGGCTGGAGTGCAGTGGTGCAATCTCAGCTCACCGCAGCCTCCGCCTCCTGGACTCAAGCAAAATACAGTGTTTTTACTACTCAGAACATTACCATCTTTGTAGCACCCCATTCTGGGTGTTGCTATCCCTGCTTCTCCACCAAACTAATGCAGAGTCAGTTTAATTCTGCCTTTTAAGATTTCTTTTTTTTTTTTTTTTTGAGACGGAGTTTCGCTCTTGTTACCCAGGCTGGAGTGCAATGGCGCGATCTCGGCTCACCGCAACTGCCGCCTCCTGGGTTCAGGCAATTCTGCTGCCTCAACCTCCTGAGTAGCTGGGATTACAGGCACGCACCACCATGCCCAGCTAATTTTTTGTATTTTTAGTAGAGACGGGGTTTCACCATGTTGACCAGGATGGTCTCGATCTCTTGACCTCGTGATCCACCCGCCTCGGCCTCCCAAAGTGCTGGGATTACAGGCTTGAGCCACTGCGCCCGGCCTTAAGATTTCTAATAGCAAACCATTTTGGATCTTTCTTACATTTGTCAAAGAGGCCTAGTCTTGTGAAACAAAGCATGATAGTTTTTGGTAGTTTTTCTGGAGTTAAGGGGATGAAGAGGTAGAGTACTTGTGTTTCTGTTGTTTTATTATATTTATTTATTTATTTTGAGAAAGAGTCTTGCTTTTTCACCCAGGCTGGAGTGCAGTGGTGCAATCACAGCTCACTATAGCCTCAGCCTTGGAGCCTCAACTACAGGCCCGTGTCACCATGCCTGGCTAATTTTTTTTGTTTGTGTTTTGTTGAGATACAGTTTCGCCATGTTGCCCAGGCTAGTCTTGGAACTCCTGGGCTCAAGCAGTCCTCCCACCTTGGCTTCCCTAAGTGCTTAGGATTATAGGCATGAGCGCCACGCCTGGCCGAGTTTCTGTTGTTAAGTGTATACAAAGAGAACTGGGGAAGATCAAGATAGATACCTGATTAATGATCACTAGAAGATAGATAACTGATTAATGATCACTAGGAGTAAAATACAGGAGCTTTATTGTTTGAGCCTACGTATCTGAGTAGGATCCTTCCCTGGATTCTAAACATGTGACTCTGTTATAGGAGAAAATGTCCACCTTGGTTCTGGTGATGGGCAACCCAAAGATTCTGGGCCCCTTCCTCAAGTGGAAAAGAAGCTCAAGTGTACAGTTGAAGGCTGTGACCGGACATTTGTATGGCCAGCTCACTTTAAATACCACCTCAAGACTCATCGGTGAGCAAATCTGAGATCTCATACTTGGATATACGTTGATGCAAAAGTTGATTCTTCAGAGGAACTTGTCCTTCAGGTTGACAGAATACAGCAAAGTAGGGACTCCAGTTAACTTCTGGTTAAGATGTCTTTTTTTCATTAATAGAAAGATTTGCATTGTCTCATTTATCTCATTCTTGATAAATATTTAATGAGACATTTGAGACCTAAAGGCCTTAAACCATGAGTTCTCAATTTTCATTATAAAACATAGTTCCTTTGAGAACTTAAAACTAACAAATAAGCATGGGCCCCTTCCTTTAACCTATGAAATCAATTTAAGGGGTGGTGCTAGGCATCTGTAGTTTTTTGTTTGAGTTTTTTTTTTTTTTTTTTAAGAGACTGGGCCGGGCGTGGTGGCTCAAGCCTGTAATCCCAGCACTTTGGGAGGCCGAGGTGGGTGGATCACGAGGTCAAGAGATCGAGACCATCCTGGTCAACATGGTGAAACCCCGTCTCTACTAAAAACACAAAAAATTAGCTGGGCATGGTGGCACGTGTCTGTAATCTCAGCTACTCAGGAGGCTGAGGCAGAAGAATTGCCTGAACCCAGGAGGCGGAGGTTGTGGTGAGCCGAGATCGCGCCATTGCACTCCAGCCTGGGTTACAAGAGCGAAACTCTGTCTCAAAAAAAAGAGACTGGATCTCACTTTGTCACAAAGGCTGGAGTGCAGTGGCACCATCATAGCTTGCTGCAACCTCAAACTCTTGGGCTCAAGTATTATCTTCCTACCTCAACCTCAGTTGGTATTACAGACTTGCACCACCACACCTGGCTAATTTTAAAAATTTTGTTTAGAGACAAGGTCTCTCTATTTTGCCGAAGCTGTTTCAAACTCCTGGGCTCTAGTAATCTTCCTGCCTCAGCCTTCTGAGTAGCTGGGATTATAGGCATGAGCCACCACCCAGCTATAGTTTCACAAAGTCTTCAGCTGATTCTGATGTATCCGTTTTTTGGACTTAATGTTTGCCTTGAGAGTCAATAGGAGCTTTGATTTGCCATCTCTAGCAAAGAGTATTTTCAGATATTTTTGCTTATGTGATTATTTTTGCAGAAATGACCGCTCCTTCATTTGTCCTGCGGAAGGTTGTGGGAAAAGCTTCTATGTGCTGCAGAGGCTGAAGGTACACATGAGGACCCACAATGGAGAGAAGCCCTTTATGTGCCATGAATCTGGCTGTGGTAAGCAGTTTACTACAGCTGGAAACCTGAAGAACCACCGACGTATCCACACAGGTGTGTGCAGCACCAGTATCCCCTTGGGCAGTCTGTTCCTTGGCTCTCCATGTTTGCCTGTCCTTAGGAAAAACTCAAGTGGGAATAGAAATGAAGGTCTGGGGTTGTTGCTAGAACTCTGAAGATGGGATTTCTTTTTCAAATGACTGTGGCACTTTAACATGTATTGTATTTTTAGCTGTGTGTGTAGAGTGGACAATGTTGATTTCTGTCTCTAGGAGCCAGACCCGTAGGAAGAGTTATAAGACCTTCTCAGACAACAATGATGTGGGGAGATGTGGACAAAATCAGTCTGTGTTCAAATCTTTTTAAACACTGCACAGTTTTGATTTGGAGCAGCAACATTTATTGAGTCACACAAACCATACAGAACCTGTTCTAGTCACTAAATGGGGTAGGGTGCATAAAAATACAAAAGATAAGGTATAAATTCCTGACTTTCTTGTTAGAGCCTCACAACATGAGAAACAGAATAGGGAACTGAATTATTCTGGGTCACACAGCATGTTAATATCTAAGGAGCAAAATAAAGATTCCTTGACTCTTAGTCTAAGAGTGAGCCAGGAGTGGTGGCACATGTCTGTAATCCCAGCTACTTGGAAGGCTGAGGCAGGAGAATTGATTAAACCTGGCCAGCAGGCGGAGGTTGCAGTGAGCCAAGATTGCGCCATTGCACTCCAGGCTCGGCAATAAGAGCAAAACTCTGATGCAAAAAAAAAGAAGAGTCTAAGGGTGATTTTCCGAGCCACTTGGTCCAGTGTGTGCTAGTCTCTAGCCAAAGTGTAATCACTGAACCCAGACCACTCTTAGAATGTGTAACTGTTCTTCCCCACTTTGTCGCTTTCATTGACTCTCCTTTCTTGATTCTGGCATTGGTAAAATGACCGTGGTAAAAATTAAAAGGCATATGGGCCGGGCGCGGTGGCTCAAGCCTGTAATCCCAGCACTTTGGGAGGCCGAGGCGGGTGGATCACGAGGTCAAGAGATCGAGACCATCCTGGTCAACAAGGTGAAACCCCGTCTCTACTAAAAATACTAAAAAAAACTAGCTAGGCATGGTGGCGCGTGCCTGTAATCCCAGCTACTCAGGAGGCTGAGGCAGGAGAATTGCTTGAACCCAGGAGGCGGAGGTTGCGGTGAGCCGAGATCGCGCCATTGCACTCCAGCCTGGGTAACAAGAGCGAAACTCCGTCTCAAAAAAAAAAAAAAAAAAAAAAGGCATATGTATATAAGGCATCTATATCTATATGCCTTTTATATATATTTATTTATATATGTACTTTTTTTTTTTTGAGATGGAGTTTCACTCTTGTTACCCAGGCTGGAGTGCAATGGCATGATCTCGGCTCGCTGCAACCTCCGCCTCCTGGGTTCAAGCAATTCTCCTGCCTCAGCCTCCTGAGTAGCTGGGACTACAGGTGTGCACCACCATGCCCAGCTAATTTTTGTATTTTTAGTAGAGACAGGGTTTCACCATATTGACCAGGATGGTCTCCATCTCTTGACCTCGTGATCAATCCGCTTTGGCCTCCCAAAGTGCTGGGATTATAGGCATGAGCCACCCTGCTTGGCCTTACTTTTTTTTTTTTTTTTGAGACGGAGTTTCGCTCTTGTTACCCAGGCTGGAGTGCAATGGCATGATCTCGGCTCGCTGCAGCCTCTGCCTCCTGGGTTCAAGCAATTCTCCTGCCTCAGCCTCCCAAGTAGCTGGGACTACAGGCGTGCGCCACCGTGCCCAGCTAATTTTTGTATTTTTAGTAGAGACGGGGTTTCACCATGTTGACCAGAATGGTCTTGATCTCTTGACCTCATGATCCACCCGCCTCGGCCTCCCAAAGTGCTGGGATTATAGGCGTGAGCCACCGCGCCTGGCCACTTTTGTTTTTTTAATTAGTCGAGTGCAGTATTGAGAAGAGGGGGAAAAGTAAAACAAGGCACTTGATCTGTAACTGACTGTGAACATCAGTTATCTATCACTACCTTCAGATCAGCCCATTGTTGTAGCATTTGATAACACTGAACATCTTAAAATGCTTTCCTTCTTTCTTATATATATATTTATTTTTGAGAGAGTCTTATTCTGTCATCCTAGAGTGCAATGACGTGATCTCAGCTCACTGCAACCTCTGTGTCCCGGGGTTCAAGCAATTCTCATGCCTCAGCCTCCCAGTAACTGGGATTATAGGCGTGCACCACCATGCCCAGACAATTCTTGTATTTTTAGTAGGGGTTTTTTCCATGTTGGCTAGGTTAGTCTGGACCTCCTGAACTCAAGAAATGCACTGACCTTGCCCTCCCAAAGTGCTGGGATTACATGTGTATGCCCAGATTTAAAATTCTTCTACTCCAAATATGACCGGATTTTCCTGTTTTTCTTTATTTTCTTTCTAATTCTTGCTAGTTTTTATCTCAGTTAATCTCTGAATTGTTCACCAGTTTCAGAATTCCTTGTTCCTTTTCTTTTACTCAGTGTACTCTCTTGTCATAATCTCAGGCCTCAATTTAATTATTTCTCCCTAATAATCTAAATGTCAATAATAATTAATATGATAATAAAATTAGCGTTTATCAACTCCAAAGCTCTTCTAAGGATTTTATTTTCAAATGCTGAACTCAGTTTATCTCACATATCAAAACTGACCTCAAATCTTCATTAGTAGTAATGATAGTAATTAAAGCTGCAATTAAGGTCAGGCACAGTAGTTCACACCTGTAATCCCAGCACTTTGGAAGGTCAAGGCAAGCAGATCACTTGAGGGCAGGTGTTCAAGACCAGCCTGGCCAACACAGCAAAACCCTGTCTCTACTAAAAATACAATTAGCGCCGGACGCGGTGGCTCAAGCCTGTAATCCCAGCACTTTGGGAGGCCGAGGCGGGTGGATCACGAGGTCAAGAGATCGAGACCATCCTGGTCAACATGGTGAAACCCCGACTCTACTAAAAATACAAAAAATTAGCTGGGCATGGTGGTGCATGCCAATAATCCCAGCTACTCAGGAGGCTGAGGCAGGAGAATTGCCTGAACCCAGGAGGCGGAGGTTGCGGTGAGCCGAGATCGCGCCATTGCACTCCAGCCTGGGTAACAAGAGCGAAACTCCGTCTCAAAAAAAAAAAAAAAAAAAAAAAATACAATTAGCTAGGTGTGGTGGTGGGTTCCTGTAATCCTAGCTACTTGGGAGACTGAGGCAAGAGAATTGCTTGAACCCGGGAGTTGGAGGTTACAGCGAGCCGAGATTGTACCACTGCACACTCCAGCCTGGGAGACAGAGTAAGACTCTTATCTCAAAAAAATTTTTCTTTTGGCAGTGGCTCATGCCTGTAATCCCAGCACTTTGGGAGGCTGAGGCAGGTGGATCACCTGAGGTCAGGAGTTTGAGACTAGCCTGACCAACATGGTGAAACCCCATCTCTACTCAAAATACAAAAATTAGCCAGGTGTGGTGACGCATGCCTGTAATCCCAGCTACTAGGGAAGCTGAGGCAGGAGCATTGCTTGAACGCAGGATGCAATGAGCCGAGATCAAGCCATTGTACTTCAGACTGGGCAACAAGAGTGAAACTCCTTCAAAAAAAAAATTTTAAATAAAGCTGCTAATTCGATGGCTTACTGTGAGGACCTACTGTGTGCCAGGCACTATGCTGAATATTTACCTGGTATTATCTTATTTAATCCTGAAACTGTATTATCTCCATTTTATAGATGAAAAGGGGATTTTTTTTAATTTTTAATTTATTTTTTTATTATTATTTTATTTTATTTTTTTTGAGACAGAGTTTTGCTCTTGTTACCCAGGCTAGAGTGCAATGGCACAATCTTGGCTCACCGCAACCTCCACTTCCTGGGTTCAGGCAATTCTCCTGCCTCAGCCTCCTCAGTAGCTGGGATTACAGGCACGCACCACCATGCCCAGCTAATTTTTTGTATTTTTAGTAGAGACGGGGTTTCATGATGTTGACCAGGATGGTCTTGATCTCTTGACCTTGTGATCCACCCACCTCGGCCTCCCAAAGTGCTGGGATTACAGGCGTGAGCCACCGCGCCCGGCCTGAAAAGGGGATTTTTAAGAGCGATTAAATACCTACCCAGTACAAACAAGTGGTAGGGCCAGGATTTGAAGTCAGGATTGGATTAACAGACCCCAAAGGCCATGTTTTTCACCATTTTGCTGCATTGCCTTTTAAACCCTTTAATTCTCTTGCGTCCCTTATTCCAGCAAAATAACCATCCTCTCAGTTTCCAAATAGGCAGGTATGTTCTCTAACCAGCTTGATGCAGAGATTAAACTTTTTCTAAATCCTTTTTGTGTTTTTAGTCTTTAGCTCATCTTTTGAAACATTTGACCTTGTTATTACTAAAATTTTCTGTTTTCTTGATATTTGTTTTGTCACGTACATTAGTATATTGTTCATTCTTTCAATAACTTTTGAGTACTTAGCATTCTGGGGGTAGGGATGAGTATACAAATAAGCATTGAAAACAGTTACCGTTGGAGAATCACAAACATTAAGCTGTGTGGTATAGTCTAAAAGAAGAGTATAATCTAGCAGTGCTGTTTCCTCCTAGCAAGCTCAGCTCCCTTATTGTCACCATGCCATATTACTGGCCATTTTCTGAACTTGTCCTGGGCACTCTCAGTTTCAAGGCTGTGCTCACACTATTCCTTGTGCTTGAAATGTCCCTCCATCCTTGCCATCTTTTGGATGAACTCAAATTCAGCCGCTTTCAAAAATACTGCAGTGGAACACTTTTTCTTCTATTTATGAATATATTTGACTGTCTCACACTAGTCTGTGACCCTTGGAGGATAGAGACTGCATCTTTTTTCTTTGTTTGATTTTTTTTGAGACCGGGACTCTCTCTGTAGCCCAGGCTTGAGCCTAGGAATTTGAGATTAGCCTGGGAAACACAGTGAGACTCCATCTCCAAAAAAAATGCTTTTAGATGGATCTAGAAACTGAGTCTTAAAATTGTTATAAGGTAAAAATCCTGACAGCATATACAGTATTAATCTTGATATCTTCAGAGGGTGGGAATCACTGAAGAAGGTAGGTCAGTGCAACTCTCCAGCTCTTGGGGCAGGATGGAGAAGGAAGTATGAAGTTCAGAGGCAGCCATTTTAAGGAAGAGGACAAGGCTGTCTGGTGGGATATATACTAAAAGATCACTGAGAGGCAACAGTTGCTAGGTATCCCAGTTTAAATTATAATATGAATTAAATAAATCAGAGTAAGTAAGTCATTTGACTCTGAATAATGTTGGTGGGAAAAGAGAGTAACAGGTAATCAGTTCATCAGAAGACTGAGTCTTTATCTCATTTTCTGTTTCTAGGAGAGAAACCATTCCTTTGTGAAGCCCAAGGATGTGGCCGTTCCTTTGCTGAGTATTCTAGCCTCCGAAAACATCTGGTGGTTCACTCAGGTATCAGAACCTTTGCCATTCATAGATTTTAGGAAAAGTAGACAAAAGAATAAAAGGGTCCTGGAGTGATGTAAAGAAATTTAAAAATAAACAAGCTGTTTGCTATAAAGATAGCTTCTCATCATCATGATGGAATCATAAATCAAGGCCCTTAATTCTTACAATCACGGGGGGGATATATAATTATTTTCAGCTGCGTTTCTAATCCAGCCCCTTTTTTTGAATACATCAGCAAATTTGTTTGGCACTCTGCCGGGTGCTTTATAAGTTATATGAAACATGGACCCTCTTCTTTAGGAATTGACATTTGTATTCTGGGAGAGGATTTCGTATCTGAAGAAAGTAAAGAGATATAAGTTGAAGAAGCACCAGTAATATTATTGCCTTCTGAGCAGGTGTTAGTGATCCTGCTTGAGACACCATTTTGGCAGAAACTATGCCTTTGGCAAATAGAACCACAAACCTTATCATTGCAGATGTGGAGAAGAGACAGGAGTAAGATTTAGTGACCTGTTTTCTGTTGGGAGCCTTAAATCAATTCCTTGCAGTTTGTCCATTTGCTCACTCTGTGCAGATATGTCTCATCCTCTCAACCAGAAGTCAGGTACAGCCCAGGGGAAAACCTGTATCTTGTTAGAAGGATTTTTTCCTGTAGCACATGGTGATTTACTTTGAAAACAAGTCTGGGAATCTAGTTTAAGAAGGGCCTAGAATGCCAGGAAGGAGAGTTTGTGGAGCCTACTGGAGGTACAATCTGATGAGAATCATCTGGCCTACTGAAGATTAATCTGGCAATGATGCAGAAGCTAAACTATAACAGGAAGAGATAAGACTTTTTTTTCAGTCTGGTCAATAAATTTGCTCAAGAAGAAAATGTAGTGGCAGGGAGCATGGAAAGAGACTCAGTGGAAGAATCTGTTCAGCCCCACAAATGGTTGGCTATAAAGTGATACAGAAATGGAGACAGCAGGTCAGGATTATTGATTCAAGAAGCATGGTAGCTCACATCTGTAATCCCAGTACTTTGGGAAGCTGAGGTGGGTGGATCACGAGATCAGGAGTTTGAGACCAGCCTGACCAACATGGTAAAACTCCGTCTCTACTTATACAAAAATTAGCCAGGCTTGGTGGCGGGCGCCTGTAACCCCAGCTACTCAGGAGGCTGAGTCATAAGAATTGTTTGAACCCGGGAGGTGGAGGTTGCAGTGAGCTGAGATCATGCCACTAGGGGGCACTACAGCCTGGGTGACTCCGTCTCCAAAAAAAAAAAGTGATAGTGAAGATAAGGGAAAAGGGGGCTTTCCAGTTGTCAGGCTGACTCATTTATTTATAAGAGGGGTTAGAAAAGTGCTGGCTGATGAGTGCTAGAGGGGGTCTGTAGACTAGCCTTGTATGCTTGTTGGAATTCCTGGCACACAACAGGTTTTTATAATTTGTTGATTGAGTGAACCAATTAGAATGAATAAATAGATAGCTAAGTAGCAGTGAGTGAGGTCACAGCTGAGAGTAAGTAGCTTAACTTTTTTTAGTAGACCTGTTCATATTTTATTATTTTTCTCTGCTACTGCTCATCAATTTAAAAGCTGGACACTGGAGAAAATAGGTGATAGAGGTTAATCAGAGTGAGGCCTGCCAAGGAAGAGATGAACTCAAGGAGGAGAGGGATTCTAGAATGTAATCAGGTCATTGTTGAGTGACTGGCCATGGGAAACAAGGGGAAGCCAGAACATGTTGATTGGAGAGGAGGAACTGGGAGTTACTAATGAGGAAAGCAAGCTACTGCAGCGCAAACAAGGATGTTGGAGAGGTATAATCGATCAGGGATGTATATTTCAGAGTTGAAATTTTAGGAGTGGAGCAGTTTTTTAATAGGATGACAAGTTCTAAGCAGAGGTGGCAAACTGGTGTGATTGGCTTGGATTGTAGTGTGTTTTTATTTTACTTTACTATGTAAGATTACATGAAAGATTCACAAAAGTAGAGAAAATAAAGATTTTTCTTAAATCGCAACAGTGCTGGTATACCTATCAAAATTAATACTTCCTTGGTTTTCTCTTATAATCAATCCATGTTTACTTTTTTCTGCTTGTCTCGAAAATGCCTTTTAAAGTTAATTTGTTTAAATCAGGATCCAACAAGGTCCAATATTATTCTTGGTTATTAAGTCTTTTAAATCTAGATCTTTCCACATGGAATTTTTTGTTTATGTTTTTTCACCATACAGTTGTTGCAAAACAGAGTCAGTTGAGTCCTATAGAAGGTCCCACAATTTGGATATGTTGGTTTGCTTCCATTTATGTCATTTAACTTGTTCCCTTACATTTTCTGTAAATTAAGTAAGCTCTAAAAGCTTCTAAGTTTGGAAGTTTTGTGCAAGAATATGTCAGAGATGGTTCTGTGTGCTTCATTTTGTATCACATCAGGAAGTTCACAGTGCTTGGCTGTCAGAATTGATCCATGAGTTCAGCTGGTAACAGCCTGATCCCTGTATTGTAAAGTTCCCTATCAACCTTTCTGCCTTTTTTTTTTTTTGAGGCAGAGTGTTACTCTGTTGCCCAGGTGAGAGTGCAATGGGGCTATCTTGGCTTACTGCAGCCTCCACCTCCTGGGTTCAAGCAATTCTTCCTCGCCACGTGAGTAGCTAGTATTATAGGCGTATGCCACGATACCCAGCTAATTTTTGTATTTTTTTTTTTTTTTTGAGACGGAGTTTCGCTCTTGTTACCCAGGCTGGAGTGCAATGGCGCGATCTCGGCTCACCGCAACCTCCGCCTCCTGGGTTCAGGCAATTCTCCTGCCTCAGCCTCCTGAGTAGCTGGGATTACAGGCACGTGCCACCGTGCCCAGCTAATTTTTTGTATTTTTAGTAGAGACGGGGTTTCACCATGTTGACCAGGATGGTCTCGATCTCTCGACCTCGTGATCCACCCGCCTCGGCCTCCCAAAGTGCTGGGATTACAAGCTTGAGCCACCACGCCCGGCCCAATTTTTGTATTTTTAGTAGAAGCAGGGTTTCACCATGTGGCTAGGCTGGTCTTGAACTCCTGATCCCAAGTTTTCCGCCTACCTTGGCCTCCCAAAATGCTGGGATTACAGGCATGAGCCACCACACCCAGCCAACCCTTCACCTTTTGATTTCATTCCTAATGATGCCTGAATCTGTTATTTCATTAAGGATTGTAAAATGGTGGTTTTTCTTATTCTCTTACTCCTTTCACATTAGTTGGAATTCTTTTGTACTATGGAACACTTTAGTTGGACTCTCTTCCATTAATATCAAGTAGGGCTATTTTATCATTTACATAGGCAAGGCAGGATAAATGTGTAATTCTTTTAATTGTGAATTTTGAGAATAAGGAATTGATGCCCTGGTTACTACTAGTATTTCATGTTTGATGCTCTTTCAAATGAAATGTTTTCTTGATTTTATTTTTGAGTTGCTCATTGCCAGTATGTAGAAATACAGTTGAATTTTGTACATTGACCTTGCAACCTTGGTAAACCCTTGAGTTTTAGTAGTTTGTTTCTTTTCTTCCGACTTTTTAGTTCAGGGGTACATTTGCAGGATGTGCAGGTTAGTTACACAGGTAAAGGTGACCCATGGTGGTTTGCTGCACAGATCATCCCATCACCTGGGTATTAAGCCCAGCATCCATTAGCTGTTCTTTCTGATGCTCTCCTCCTCTTCCTACCCCCACTCCCATTTTTTTCTTTTCTGTTTATTTTTTAAGAGACAGAGTCTCACTCTGTTGCCCAGGCTAGTGTGCAGTGGCACCATCATACCTCACTGAAGCCTTTGAACTCCTGGGAACAAGTGATCTTCCCATCTGTAGCTGGGACTACAGGCTTACACTAACACATCTAGCTAATATCTATTTTTTGGTAAGAGATGCAGTCTTTTTATGTTGCCCGGGTTGATCTTGAACTCTTGGACTCAAGTGATACTCCCACCTTGACCTCCCAAAGTGTTGGAATTGCAGGTATGGGCCACTGCACCTGGCTGAGTTTTAGTTTTTTAAAAATAGATTTCTTAGTGTTTTTTATATACAACATCATGTCATCTGAGATTAAAAATAGTTTTGCTTCTTCCTTTCCAATATAGGAGCCTTTAATTTCCTTTCTTTCCTTTTTTGTTTTTTTGTTTTTTGTTTTTTTTTTTTTGAGATGGAGTTTTTTTGCTCTTGTTACCAAGGCTGGAGTGCAATGGCGCGATCTCGGCTCACCGCAACCTCCGCCTCCTGGGTTCAGGCAATTCTCCTGCCTCAGCCTCCTGAGTAGCTGGGATTACAGGCATGCGCCACCATGCCCAGCTAATTTTTTGTATTTTTAGTAGAGACGGGGTTTCACCATATTTACCAGGATTGTCTTGATCTCTTGACCTCGTGATCCACCCGCCTCGGCCTCCCAAAGTGCTGGGATTACAGGCTTGAGCCACCGCGCCCGGCCTTCCTTTTTTTTTTTTTTTTTTTTTTTTTAAAGACATGGCTCCCTCTGTTGCTCAGGTTGGAGTGCAGTGGCATGATCATGGCTTACTGCAATCTCAACCTCATGGGCTCGAGCAGTCCTCCCACATGAGCTTCCCAAGGCTGGGACTACAGGCACATGCCCAACAATTTTTTTTTTTTTTTTTTTTGAGACAGAGTTTCGTTCTTGTTACCCAGGCTGGAGTGCAATGGCGTGATCTCGGCTCACCGCAACCTCCGCCTTCTGGGTTCAGGCAATTCTCCTGCCTCAGCCTCCTGAGTAGCTGGGATTACAGGCACGCGCCACCATGCCTAGCTAATTTTTTGTATTTTTAGTAGAGACGGGGTTTCACCATGTTGACCAGGATGGTCTCGATCTCTTGACCTTGTGATCCACCCGCCTCGGCCTCCCAAAGTGCTGGGATTACAGGCTTGAGCCACCACGCCCGGCTAATTTTTTTTTTTTTTTAGACAGAGTCTTGCTCTGTTGCCCAGGCTGGAGTGCAGTGGGGCAATCTTGGCTCACTGCAACCTCCG